CCTAAACCTCAAACCCTAAACAATGGCAGCTAGAAAAAGGGTTTAGGGTTTAGGGTCTAGGAGCTTGAGTGTTTAGGGTTTAGGGTCTAGGAGCTTGAGGATTTAGGGTTTAGGGTCTAGGAGCTTCAGGGTTTAGGGTTTAGGGTTTAGGAGCGCTGCAAAAAACCCTAGCAGCTGAGGCAGACCATGGCTCACCCTCCTCCACTCCTTCAGGACCACCTGGATGTCGCGCACCCGGATCCGTTCACCTTACGTTCATGTCAGGGTTTAGGGTCCAGGGTTAAGATTACTATTGGTTCTTAGTAGGGAAAATATTTTGGGATTCTATAGGGATACTGGCAAAGAGAACGGAAACTAGTGCGTTAAAATGGGGTACATATTTGGGTTATAGTAGGGAATCAGGGAATATACCATAGCAGGGTTATATAGGGATAGTACAAATCCCCACCTCCTCAGTTTCTAGGCTTGACCTGCAAAGGACCGAAGTTGACCAGTTGCATTTCAGGGCAGCAGGTTGGGAAGCAACTCTAAATACTAGTTTTCATGTTCTTTTCCACTATCCCTACTTCATACCCATATATCCCCAATATACTATATTGACCCAATATAACCCCTATTTCTTGAGGCGGTACGCTTCCTACTTCTTCTTGGTGAGGTCGAGGGTAGGTTTGGCAACAGCAGAGCACCATTGTTTCCAGCCACAGGGTAGCACCCTTTTGCACGACATGCTCCAGAAGAGCAAGAGACTGCAAGCCGCAATGGGCCAGAAGAGAAGGCGTCAGAGGTCTAGACATCGTCTGCAGCTGGTAAGAGCTGCACTGAAGTGTCTAGCGCTCCATGCCCTCATTTTGGCTCCGCGTGCTTCCACAGGGAAGAGTGGTATAGTGCTGCAGCCAAAGCGAGCGTCTTAAGCGTACGTCCAGTTCACAGGATTTCGGGTTTCTTGTGTTAAAGGCGCTTTCTGCCCAGTCTTTCAGAGGACCAGCCGCTAAAAGAGCCATGGCCTTTGAAGCGCAGTTTGCGGAGATTGAAGATAAAGCCTGCCACCTTCTGAGCTGTGGCTCGGCATGTATTTAAGTGGCTGTCAGAGAGGAATCTGATTTAAGTTCGCGTTTCAAGGAAATCAGATTGTTCATTGCAGATCCGCGTTATGGTAATGCCGTTCAGGATCCTGTACAGCAACAACAACACAGCGGAGACCAATTTAGGAACAACCTCAGTTTCCGGGGTGGGATTAAAAAGGTTTGAGACACCAACGCTACATCAAAATCAGGAGAGCATGTCAAGTGGTTAGCGCACTTAGGGCACATGCGTCGGGATAAGACAAGAACATGCTCACTGTGCAAAGGTTCCCAGAAGTGCACAGGCTGCCGAATCTCTATCCTTAGATAAAATATTCCCATATTTCCGACTGTAACTCTATAATGATATAGTACTTTCCGTGTGTTACCTATAATAATATAGTACTCTAACATGGCTTCACGGCGCCTTCAGCTGAGCCATTAGTTGTCGGCTCGACCTGCTGTTGAAATTGCCAGCTGCAACTTTCTCAGCAGCATCGTGACCCATAAGAAGATATGGCTTGGGCGACCACAAGAGAGAATGGTAATTATGTGAGGGTCTCTATATATTCTTAGTGTACCACTATGAGTGGGCGGAGGCATAACGTAACAAGATGTGGCAGCAATACCTGGTGCCGCTACCCTTGCCCAAAAATTACCAATATCTCTTTGGGGCTCCTATTTCTTGCATCTCCTCGCTAGTGCGTTGGTGGTCTCCCTACGCAGTAACAGTGACTTTAAGGGATAATGGCCATAATATTAGGGTCCTCTCATGTTCCTATTATAACCCTAAACCCTAAGACCCTGAAAGCCCTAAACCACTCTTACAGGGTGGGGGGATCCTCCTAAGGAGTATCTCATGAGACTCAGGTTGTTGCTGGGGAGTCTCCTGCACTTCCTGTGATGATCCCTGCTGCATCAGCAAGCACAAGTGGCCTGGCTGGGGCAAACCTTGTCGGTGTTGAACAATTCGGGAGGTCCTTTTGTGGATTATATGATCTTGGGAAGATAATCCGACTGAGGGTTAGTAGGGAATAAGGGAATTTACTATATAAGGACTGTAAAAAATGAGGATTATGTTCCTTTATTCCCTACTAACCACCAGCATGTTCCAACTTGTCCAACGGTTTGCCTTCTGCAATGGGAGATATATTTCAACTTCTCTGCGGGCCTTTGAAGGCCAACCAAGCCGTTAAAATCTCATACTGTGAGGGACCCAGCCAACAGTCTTGGGAACCTCCCAATACCCTATTATTCATCGAAACCCAAATTTAAGGAAAAACAAGACCGGAAGGGTAGTGGGAAGTGAGGGTTGGAAACTTCCGAGCGTTTCTCATAGATGGTACAAGTAGAAACTGGGATCCACCCTCATATCCCCTGAATGATGAGGTCCTGAACATATTAAAGTCGGACACTCAGCGCGCAATGCCAAGATGAGAAAAACTACATCAAAGTCCAGAAGCGGCCTGTTGTTTTCAGAGGTCAGACAACTCCCTATACATCCTCACTTGCTCTGAAAATCCCTACAACCCCCCCCCCTCCAAAACAAGAAAAAAGCAAGTGGCACACATAGAAGGACGCCTGGCAAAGGTTCTGCTGCTGTGCCGGAGGCACAACGTCCGGTGAAGAGTGCGTTGGTGAGAAGGCGGCTTAGCTCCCCATGCTACGGTTTGGGGTTTAGGGTTTGGGGTTTGGGGTTTGGGGTTTAGGGTTTGGGGTTTAGGGTTTAGGGTTTAGAATTTAGGGTTTGGGGTGTAGGGTTGAGTCGTACTTGGGAGGGTCAGGGGCCACGGGGAGTCAGCATGTAGGTTTATAGGGGGGTAGCTGGGGTTAGTATGTGGTTTCTAGAGGTTATACAAGGCCACCCTGATCCTCCAACTGGCTAGGGTTGCTAAACCTTTGCAGGACAAGAACATGCAAAATGGAACTGGGGCTATATGTAGGCTAAAGTCTAGGAAGGTTAGTGGTTATACAGTAATGGGCGACTTACATATGTAGATACATGTATCTGTGGAGTGGGAGAGAACATTGAGGCTATTAAGTTTTGAAAAGACTTGTGGTTTGAGGATGTTAGGGTTCAGTGTTGAAGTTTTTTTGTTTTCGCGTAGGCTCTGGATGTTGTTCAAAGGCCTCGAGGTGGAGTAGTCACAACCCCAATGACCTGGCTTCGAGACGGGGTGAGGCGACAGTATCCTGACTGCCCAGCAAGTCCATCATTTGATGACATTGCACTCTTAGCCCAGGATAGGGATCGCTGGTGTAATCGAGGCAAGTCACACTTGCACTTCCTTGCTTCTAATGAGCGCCATTCATACCTGCATCCATGCCAACTTGACAGATGGCAGGACTTTGTGACGCAGCATGTATCGTGGGCTCTTGTCTGTGCACTGTTGTTTTCAGAGGATGCTTGGTACCTGGTGTGGGTGGACAAAGAGGAAGGGGTCAGGGTCCTGAATGTCACGCTTGAGCATTCCTTCTCCCTAGATGCTGTTTTATCCGTGGTGCCGTACATTCGCATGCAGTATCCGGCATGGTGCTCCAGATAGGGATTTTGCCTCTTCATTATGATGCTCATATTGCTCAGTTTGATGGCTTTGGTGACCGATTGATGAAGGAACATAATATGGTGCTTTCCGTTGAGATACTTCCTGAAGAATGGCTCCCTCGTCTAATGCGACTTCTTGCTTAAAGCAAGTGACCGGGGAGTCGCTTTCCCAGCAGAGGCTTCGCAGGCTGGATGCAAAAGGGTTTGAGAGCAAAAGCGATGCTAGACTTCCTGAGGCTCGGGAAAGCCAGCTGCACGAAGGTAGGTACAAAGCATGCCTGTAGGTATGTTCTACTAATTATATAGTACCATATACTATAATATACTATAACATACTGTTCCACATGTCTTGCGGGAAGGGGGATGATGGAAAAGAACATGGGAAACTGCTCTATCATAATAAGGGTATATATTGGGGTTATATATGGATAATGGAAAAGAAAGTGGACACTACTATAGGGTGTAGGGTGCTGTCATGGCAGGTGTCGTATCACATGGACTTTCGGGGCGGTTTTATGACCTCTTCCTGGCGTAGAGCGTCGTGCAGCGTAGGATCCGCTGAAAGCAAGCGAGCCCAAATCTGTACCTCTCCTTTTTCGAGCCCATAGGAGTCAATCAAAAAGCTAAATGCCAAGGGGTGCTTCACTGGCATCGCCAAGACATTCTGCTGCGTTCAGGCCTGCTCCAGGGCAGCAGATCTTCTTTGGAACTTTGATGACTAATGCGACTTTCCTTGTCTAGGCCCTATACAAATTCGAGGTGGGACGCCATTGCTTTCTGCATGCAAGATGTTCTCGCGCCTCCTGCTCTCATAGGAGTCTGGTCTGTTTGCAGCTGGCTGCCAAGATGTGTGCTTCAGGCCATGATGGAGACTGTTCATTGGATACCTCTCCAGGAAACAGCATTTGTGAAGGACAAACAGTAGAGGGCTTTTGAGGAGCGTACATCCCCAGTTGTCCATAGTAGCAGTCCCACAAGTATTTGGGTGGGGCCTTCAGTCGGGCGATGATGGAGGCAGCATTCTTGTGTCAAACGGCGTCTGCAATTCCCGGGGGCTATGTCTCGATCTACCAACATGCGCATGCAATGTCTGGTGTTTCTCGTCAGGAGCACCAGGTGAGTCCAACAGCCATTTCAGTTCAAGCAGTTTAGTGCCGTTTTTGTTGAATCTTTTCCATTCAAAGCGCACTCAGCCTGCGCTGTTGTTGTGTAGGATGTTTAGATTTGGATGCATCGCCTTCTGCGTCGCTGTGGTGAGCTCTCGCAGGACAGGAGATATCTCGCTGACGCAGAGTCCTGAATGCGAAGAAGCACCATCCAGCAAAACATATCTCGATGGCTTGCGGGCTAAGTAGGGCATTGAGGAGTGCACTAAGAAGGATGTGTGCCTCTTCATGCGTCAACTGGATGCCCACTTCTACACCCGTGCAAGGAAGGGCCAGCTGGTGAACTATGATGAGCCCCCAAAGATGAGTTGGGTGCACAACGGGCGCTGCGCGAAGAATTCTCGATCTATCAAGATGGAGCCTGTTACCAAATACGCTGCCTGTGCTAGCGCTGTGAAAGCCAAAGGCATAGCTGGGAAGCTGAGGAAGAGGACCAGCGAAAACCCTCCAAGCGGCTGCAGCATCAAGAATGGACGTGGCTACCTGAATCAGATGGAGACAGATGTAGAAGCCGACGTGTCTTATGAGTTTGAAAACCCTGACAAGCCGTGGGCACGGACCCACAAAACCGAGATCATGCAGTACTGCCAGATTGACCATTCCTTGAACGAGGCTGCGGCGTCTTACTATTCGCCCTACAAGCTGAAGCAAAGCATGCAAGGCAAACCCCAGGCATCCGCAAGCTGTTCCGTCGGCATGATGGCAAACTTGTCCAGGCTGGAGCTCACGGACAGTCCCTGTGCAGGCATCTTGGCATTCCGCCCTAGGCTCACCTTATCCTACAGTCAAGCTGCAGATGCCCTGAGGGCAGCAGACAAGATGCAAGAACATGGCAAACAAGAGGAAGCTGATGCGATTCGGACCGAGGTGGAATGATTCGCCACAAGTCCGTCCTCATTGAGCTCATCACCACCGACTGGTGCCCTGGGATTTGGGAAGAAGCTATGCGGCAGGGCACCACATGCCTCGCCAAACGCTTCCCAAGTTGGGCTAAAAATGACTTTGGTGAGGGCGAGGAGGGCTGGGCTGATCGAGCAGAGTACTTGGTTCGGGGCATTGGCGGTGAGACGAAGCAGGCGCTCATGCAGTCCCGCACCCCGAAGATGGGCCTGGCCGAGGAGGTTTGCGATCAGATCTCTAACGCTGAGCTAGAGGACGCCTTGGGCAAGGCATCCGACACTCCTCCGGACTTTTTCGAGGATGCGTCAGTCTAGGCCAGCAGGTTAAGCTGCCCTTTGTGCTTCTGACGCGCAAATGTGTTGTAGTATCATACAACATGAGGTGTGGCCGTACGCGGGTTGCACACCGGCGTTCCCGAGGTGAAAAAAAGGAGCACCCGTCACCAGAACAGCATGAAGATGAGAGCCACTTTCCTTTGCTGATAAATCCTGATAAGAACCCCGATCGCCCCACCAAGATTTCTCCCGTTTTTCCAGTTGTTAGCAAGGGTGAACAGTGTAACAGTTTTGTATGGTTTTATTGTCAGACAGAGGAGACTCTGAAATCTTGAGTGGGCATGTGGCATGTTTGCTTGGAGGCAGTTTGTTAACAGGGTGACCTGCAAATCCGTGTCACATCATGACAAAACTGTTGGGTTTCTTTGTGTGCTTTCTTGGGCAAATCCAAGGGCACTGCTTACAGGCCTTTTCGCTGAACAACTTGGCCATTGGTTGCTGCGCAGCTCGATGGCAAGCAGCATTGAAGCGTCATTGCCCTAAACCTCACCCCTTACCGTTTCATTCGGGATCTTCCAATCGAATTGGAGCGATACATAGAAGATGAGCATGGCCCCGGAGCAAGGCTGACACTTGCAGCTTCAGAAGTGTGCCAAATGTTTGAAACCTGAGCCCTTGTAAACCCCGTGCCTTCATTCCACTGCGCTTATTGGGCGGATTCTACCATCCCAGACTGCAAGAATTACTTTGCTTGCTTGTGTTCCAGTTGCGGCATAGATCCCCGTAGTTTCACCACGTGGCCACGGCCTATTCGAGTTGGAGAAGTTGGAGAGGAGAGAGCGGAATCAAAGGGATCCTCAGCATGTATGTTGATGGCGATTGTACAAGCCACATATTTTTGCAACTGCACACTTCGCAAGGAAGGAAGACTTGGCTTAAGACAGACTTGCGCAAGCTCCAGACTGGATGCATGCGCACTGAAACCTTCACACCTGGCACATCCCCTCAGAACACGCAACAGCATGTTCCTGGCCGCCTTAGGACATCTTTCTTCTTGGCCGCCCTTATGGCGAAGGAAGTCTAGTAGAGGATCGGGAGTCTGCCTTCATGCAGGAGGCGGCGACATTGTGGCACCTAGCAAGAAACTCAATAAGATGCGCAAACGGTGATTGGACAATCAGGAAGTATAGTCTATGGACTCACCCTTAGTGACGAAGGGTAGGGTTTCCACTGCCGTCTGAAGATCCCATGTTTCAGACCTACCCACTCATTGAGAGGACATTCCGTGACTGATTCGACTCCACTCCATCTACTTAACTACGGTGCTCGTTTCGACCTCCCAATTGCACGGAGTGGGGTGGTGGGGAAGCGGCGTGGGGGCAAGAAATTGATAGATGGATGCTGTAGGATGACCTGTGACCCCAAATACTGACGGATCGGTGGTAATTACACCCTACATAGCAGGTATGACCCATAAAGCTGCAGGTTATGGGGGGTTACAGGGAATGGCTCTAAGCTAAGATGGCCAGGGGGTGGGAGGGAGGTGAGCGAGGTAAACCTCTACCTAGCTTGACAGGAACTTGCGTGAGTAGTATTTCATTTTGGGCTACTATGGTACCCAATGTAGAGTAAGATTATGTCCTCCTTTTGAGTCTAGTATTGGACATACACAACATAATGACATAATGCTACTGGGTTCAACCACCAAAAAACGCTACTCACTTACGGTTCCTGAAGCTCGACACTTCTCTTGACTTTTCTGGCCTCTGGTTAGCTGGGAATGAAGGGATGGAAAAGAAAATGGGACCTATTATAATGGTTTATCTAGGGACTACTATCCCTAAACCCTAAACCCTATAAAACAGGGTCCCTCGTTTAGGATAATATAGTCCATAACAAGGAACCCACGTACATGAAATTCTGCATCCCTACATAAAAGCCTAGCTGTCATTTCACCATCTTCTTTTCCATTTGATTCTGCATTCTTTGGGGGATAGACCGTAAACCCTAATCCCTGAACCCGATAAAATCCCTATATACCCTATAAACTTATCCAGTATAGAAGTTCCCTTGCAGGCGCCGCTTGAGGAGTCCTGGACCTTAGACAAATCACGTCGCGATAATTTGGGTCGGTCGCCTTGCCTACTGCTTGTTCTACATATGTATATGTATATATTTATATTATATGTGTGCACATTGGTACCATGGTAACCCAATTTGAGCCCCGTATTGCCCAGTCAAGTGTACCACATCGACGCTTTGCAGGTGCACTGGTGCTGCTATTGCCTCGTCGCAGGTGGCCAAACCTTATCAAGGTCTAAGAATTCAGCTTTATCCAATACCTTCTTAAGGCTTAGGGTTTCGGGCTTAGGTTTAGGGCGTTTAGGGCCTTGTGGTTTAGAGTTTGGGGTTTGGGGAGGGGGGTGTTTGGTAAAACCTCATAGGGGGTGTCTTCTTTGTGCAAGCGGCGGCGCAGCGCTTCTTTGGAGGTGTTGTTGAATGGAAAGCCTTGGGTGGGTCATGCAGCTTCCCCGGTGGCCACACAACATGCCCAAAATCGTGGCGCCAGGTTATGGCTGCGCGCCCGTAAGCCCGCCCTTTGCCTGCATTTCAGCCCATCCTTGGGGTGAAGGCTTAAGGCCCGTGGTTATGTTCACAGTTTGTGGGGCATTGGGATCAATCGGCAATACGGTTATGCACCTGGGATGTATGACTCAGAGTTTAGGCTCAATTGAGTGCATAGTGCAGGGTACCTACTGTTTGGCAAAGTGTGGCCAGTTGGTGGAGGAGGAGGAGGAGGAGCAAGAATTCGCGTAATGCCGATAGCGGCAGCAGTCGCCGCGTCCTGCCAAAGGTTCTGCTACAACAACAGCAAGTACTGCTGCATCGAGGACGCTTACATGATGACACAGCAGATTGCGAGTTTCGGGTACTTCGGATTTGCAACAAATCGAAAGAGCAGCGCAACGAAGCTTGGGTAGAGAATGCGTCAGAATGGTTGGGCAAGCGTAGAGCTTGAGAGTAATCACATGGATCGGCATGCAGCCCATTGCAAGAGCTGAAGCGGCCCATTTAATCCCACGCAATCAAGGAATCAAACAGGGTGCTCTGTCTACAGTCGAACGTTCAGATTAAGGTACGGCAGGCCTTACTCAGTGATGGATGAGGATACAGATTGTTGCGTTAGGGGTAACCAGCACCTCAAGCGCGACCTCTGTCAGCCGCCCTGCTGCGTCTGTGCCTTGCAGCAAGTTTTGAGCATGCTAGGAGAAGGATACTGCAGATGGCTGCTGGACAAATGAAGGTATGTGCCCGGGACCCAGTTCCTCGAGGATGCCTTGGTCTTTACATTGACTGTTTGTTACCATCTTCAGTTGCCTCATTCTTGCTTGCAGCAATGCTGCAAGATTATCAAGATTGGTTTTTCTGCTTGTTGCGGCTGTTGCTTGTGAGTATCGTGTCTCTCCAACACTTGGCCCATGGCATAGCCGATATGCCGATTGTATAGCTTTACTTGCTAGCTCCGCAGCTCCACGTCGCAACTTTCTGGTGTAATCAAGGTTGGAAAGAGTAGCATCCTTCGCAGTTGTTCCAAAATATTGGAATGACAGGCGGCGTTGAAGTAAATTTCCGACCACTCAGGCAGTTACCATATGCATAAAGTTATCTTAGTCTATGCAGTAAATCTTTCCATCACACACTGTTGACAATTCGTAGGTTCTGGAGAATCTAATGTAGCTTCCATGAATGTACAAGGAGTAGGGAGGGGAGACGGACCCCCTTATACTAGAATCCTTGCTTTCACGACTTTGCATGTTCTTGTCCAAGTGATTCTCGTCTCCATTACTGGTGTAGTATCCCCCAACTGGTGTATACTTTGGGTACTGCCCCCACTCAGTAACAGCTGGATAATAAGTATAATATGGTTATATATAGCCCTTAATAGGACTCCTAATATAGACTGTTACTGGGTGAAAGCAGTACCCAAACTATAATTCCTATAGTTTCCATTTTCTTTTCCATTATCTCAATATGACCCCAATATACCCCTATAATCCCTACAGTATATAACCCTTATGTGACCCCTATAATCCTTGTATACTCAATGCGCGCCCAATTCGTTCAGGTCATCAAAACGCCAAGGCGCAGTGGCCTGGTGCGGCCCCCCCAAGATGTTAAGGACCACCCAAAGGACCCATAGGACTATAGTCCCCCTTTAGTAGATAGAATATGATGGCTTTGGGTAAATTGTAGTAAGACCCCCATATACCCCATATTCTATCTACTTAAGGGGGACTTTATGAAGTGAAGGCAGGTTGGACATGCAGCGAGCTGCTTCTTGCCTTTTGCCCTTAAGCGATGTGCATGCATGTTAGCACAGATCTCTGCCACGCTCTTCGGCAGCTCCTGCACAAGCAGTCTTGATTAATCTGGCAGGCCATTTGCCTCGTCACTCGCTCCAACTTTCCGCCAACCAGGAGGCTTCATGGGCATGCTGATTTGAAGATCCGTGTGCTATAAGTCTCCTGAAGTAGAGGGTTTGCACATACCCGTAGCACGGACGCAGGCGCTAGTTCCGGTGGCCAGCGGACTTGTGGAAGTTTACCCCCAAACCTCCAACATCAACAGGATTGGCTGCGGTGCCTGCGGACACTGGGCGGCGCTATTGCTAGTAGTTCATGTTGCAAACTGGCAGAGTGAGGAGGATACTTTCTGATTGGTGCAGGGGATTCAACGTACGAGAGTGAAGGGTCTGCTCTGGAACCAGCCCCCCCTGTAGAGCCTACCAGGCGGCGCTTACGCTTTTGAGTCATGCGTTAGGGGGAAGGGGGCTGGTTTTTTTCTGCCATAAGGTTACATTCAAAGGTGGTTTCGTCATGAGAACGGCTGAAAGGGACATGTGAGGAAAATGCCGCACCACAAGATTGTAACCAGGCACGAGCGATGTGGACTGTTTGGTCCCCAAGCTTAGCATCATGCTACCCGAGATGAGGACGATGAACCCATAGGCCCTAGGCGGGGTCAGTATGTTTCCAGTGCGGTTTGCGCGGAAATCTGCAAGCAAGGGCACGCAGCAACCTCTCACAAGAAGTGCACACTTGCAAACTTCCATGGTCACAGTGAGTGATGGCACATTCTGCTTGCAATTGCTGCTGAGCTGAGGATGTGCTATCTGCAAAGTTCCTCCTGGTGCGCGGGGTGCCGTTGTGCAACCAGGGCAACAGCGTATGTGAGGTCTTCGGTCACCAGCAAGCAGATTCCCGAGATGACCCCATACAATCCGTACTACCACCCCAAACCCTAAATTATTACCCTAATATAATACAGTAGTTTCCATTTTCTTTTCCATTATCCCTATATAACCCCAAGATACAAACCTAAACCCTAAAGCAACCCTATAATTAATCCCTTCGTGGTTCCTATGAGTCTCTCGGGTCCCCAAAGGCCCCTGATCAGTGAGAAGACAATAAAATAGCCGAGCTTGGGCTCAGCAAATGAGCTATAGTCTAAACTCCTTTAAAGGGGGGTTATATAGAGGATCATATAGGGGACTACTATAGGGGTTATTAAGGGGGATACTAGGAGTTTAGATTCTAGCTCAAATGAGTGGATCTTGATTGAACTGAGACGCGAGGAATGAAGAGAAGGATGCTTGCCTGTTTTAGACGGAGACGGCTACATGCTTACCTATTTGGGCATTCCCGGCCAAAGAATGAGCAGCCCTATGGGAGAAGCTTGGGGGGGCAGGGAGTGTTAGGACATGCCTCTGCCCCTGCCATTTCGTTCCCAGGAGCAAGCAAGAAACCCCCCACCCCGCATCTTCTACCCATGAATATGTTGTATCATCATGGGTGCAGTAGTCTCGCCCTCAGATTTGCATACCCCCACATCCGCCACAGGCTTCTGTTGGCTGCTCTCTATGTAGTGCTGGGGGGGTGTCAAGCTTTTCTGGGTTGCTGTCACGCAGCTTAGTTTAAGTTACTGTATTGTGGAAAGCTTATGCTCCAATATATATATATACATATATGCAGCCACTATGGTAGCTTAACTTAAGTTCCTTAGCAGCAACCCAGTGTTGCGTTGTCAAGCTTAATTTTTCTTCTGGACACCGGCTGGAAAGGAAGCTGACAGTACTAAGTGCGGTACTATTAGCTCCTTTTATGTTGATAGTTCCAAAAAGTAAGGTCTCATTTTGGTACCCCTAAACATTAAGTGCCGTAAAATATTCTATAACCAAAAGGGGCCCGTAGTTTTGGGAACCACCCATGTAGCTATGTGGTTCCATGGATGCACGGAGGTTCACAGCCTAAGGCCTAAGGTCGTCTTGTGCAAGCTTCGAGGGCTGTTTCCACTCTCCAAGGGTTTCAATCAACATGCAGATTGGAACATTTTCGACACATGTGGGCGGTTGGCAAGTTGCTTGATCCTTGGTACTGGCATCAGGGTAAGTTGTCATACGTAGAGTGTACTGTGTAGATAAACCTTGAAGGCAGGGTATAATGTCACGTCTAAGTTCTGTTACTGTTGTTTCACTGTTAATCTATTGGATCCATTTCGCCCGTTTGCACGATGCCGCTTTCTCGCCAGCGCCATGCAGTACTGCCCGCGCTGGTCTTTGTGGGGCGACCAGACTGCAGCCGCGGGTAAGGGTTTAGGGTTTCCTGCGCCTACCTGGAAGGTCAGTAATGGATCAAGGTTTGACATCCCAAAAACAGATTGCAAACAGCAGCTTGGGCGTCCAGGTCCGCAAGCCTTTTATACGAGTTTCTCAAAACGTAAAATCTAGTTTCAAAGAAACATCAAACACTTCTGAGCTCCAACGCGCACACAGGCATCCGCCGCAACCTGTGCACAAAATGTAACCGTACCAGCAATCATCACAATGCCAAAGAGAAGAACGACTGGACAGACTCATCGGCGGCGACGTCCGCCGCCGCAGTAGCAGCAGAAGCAGCAGCAGCTGCTGATTATCATAGCTGTGCGGCTGTTGTAGCCAGAGTTGCAAATTCATAGCATTTAGTTGCACTATAAGCGCATGCTGAGGCTGCTGCAGCATCGTTTCTGGTCAGCAAGGAATCACCACTTTCGGGAAACGTTGGCCTCTGATGACGGGGGGCTTGTGAGTTTGTGACTGTCGGTTGGAGTTAGAAGATTGGGCTGCGCAATGCTGATGAAAACTGGCTTCAGCCCATGTGACACGCGCCAAGTTGCTCCAACCTTCTCGGTGGCTCGGCAGGCTGTTGAACAAGGCTGGATTTCTCCAGACTGCAAGCCCATAGAATTACCCCACATAGAACCCAGGGTTCATCCGATTTTCCATTTCATTCTCCGATATTTGTTGTTACTTAGGCACCTACACCCTGTTAGGTCCTACATATCAATGATTGACCTGTATCACGTACCATATCATGGCGCAGGCTCCCCGACACTCTGATAAAGCCCGATTATTTGCTCATTCCTAGACCTAAGAAGGGTTTAGGGCTTAGGGCTTGCCATTTTGCATCCTGAACCCTAAATAGTCCTCTTGGTTTAGGGTGTAGGTTTCATGTTGCATGGTCTTTTCCATTTGATACTCCACTATGTTTATTATGGTAGTCATTCTGGAGTTCCTTTACATCATCCCTTTAGGATCCCTTCAAGTAACGGTAATAAGGACACAATTCCCTTATATCCCTTGGGGTAGGGGGGGGCCCTTTTGAGAAAGCCCTTTTAGCGTATTTACCTCTCTGTTGCAATTTGGTTTTCCATTGTTAGACCTACCTCTATATAGCTCGAAGCCTAAGCCTTAAATCCTAAGCCCAATGAAGCCGAAATAGACTGCGGCTCAGAGAAAGGTCCGAGGACGAAAAAACCGATACCTAAATGACACCAAATTTGGAAATTGAGGACTCCAACCCTAAACCCTCAAGCTTAGATTTGGCAGGCCGCACCTCGGTGAAGCTGATGCTCAGCGCTGAGGATGACATGTTCAGTCACTTGCTGCTGAAAACTCTGTATACCTACATATATACTCATATATGTGTATATATATACACAGATATACATATGGTGTATATATATATATATGTGGTGATTAGGTTTAGGGTTTAGGGGGGTAAGCGTGCAGCTTTGGGTTATGTTTGCAGCAAGGGGTCTTAAGCAACACCCTAGGCCCTGTTGAAGTGCTTACTAATTATTCAGAGAGCCATGCATCTGCCAGGAGAAGCAGGAGCTCCTTGACCTTGGTTACAGCGAAGATGAGGCCAGCAGCAGAGGAAGATGTCGGCCCTCGTGTTGTGAAATCATGGCGACCATGATTCTCATGTCTACTTCAGCCCAATATCGAAGAAGCACGATAATACTAAAATCACTGCTTCAATAAAACCGGGTCTAGGAGGCAGGGGGCGCCTTTTGTTTAATTAGCTGCCGTGACAACCCCACAGCCCAAATAGGAGCTGCATAGGGATTGTGTCGGTCTATTTTGGGAGTGTCAGGAATTTGCAGGATTGAGGGTACTACAAGGTGCATGATGGGGGGTTCCTGTGAGTCCCCAAAGGCTGTGAAGCCCATAAACAATGAAAACGATTGCTTGCAGTGGCCATATGGGTTGTTATCAAAACTATGGGCCCTTAGGGATATAGGTTATATTACGGCACCTAATATTTAGGGTACCAAAATGGGACCCTGCTTTTGGGAACTAGCCATATACCCATATAGTAGATCGGATTGGACGAAAGGGTTCTTCACAGCTTCAGTAGGGGAGGGCACCAAGCGCACCATGCGGCCAGACCCTAGAGCCAATGTGAGCTATAGTCGAATAAACTCCTTAAATAAGGTTATAAAGGGGATTATATAGGGGACTACTATAGGGAATACAAGGAGTTTAGACTATGGTTCATGTGCCTCATCCCAGCTTCCCGAATGGGGCCTCGAATTGGCATAGTGTTTTCTTGTTCTTTTTTCTCCTCCTCGTCCTCATGCCCTAAAGCCTATGATACCTGAGCATGGCCATCTTGCTGCTGAGAACTCTTACTGTCAGTGTTGAGGCTGCCGAGATGCGCGTAGAGCTGGCGTGTGGCTCTCAGCTGTGGGTTGATGAGTTTCGCAATTTGGGAGCAGAACATGGGTGGTACAGCAAGGAGATCATAGAGTCCCGCTTGGAATGGCATAGGCTAGGCCCGGCACGGTTTCATCATAATATGGGCTGCTCAAAGCTGTAAGTGCGCATATTGGGATTTTCCAATTAAACGACAGTAGAGGCTCCTGATTTGAGAAGCTCAGCAGTACGTACATTAGTGTGAGGCTTGCCAGGGAAGGAGAGGTCAGGGAGGACTGTCGCTAGCTCTGGAAATCGCTGCCCATCTGATCAAGAAGGACAATCATTGGAGAATGAGAGCAGGGCACATGTGGAAGGCTGCATTCAGCCAAGATTTGAGCCTCCAGCAGCACGGCAGAGCAGTCATGACATTCTTTAAGCATTGAATTTCCAACATGCCAAAGACCCACCAACTAAAATCAATGAGGCCTAAACTTGTCAGCCCCCCCTCAGGTTCCCAAAGTTGATATGACTCTGAACCGTAGGGTTCGGATGGGGAGTATTCCCCAACGGTGAAGATGCCAGTCGATGCCGTGCTAGCCATGGCGACACCAGGCACGGAAGTGTTGGTACAAGTGCCGGGCTTTTTGTGAACCCCTCCGCTCCACAAGGGAAGAAGAAGGTAAAAGCCAGACACAACCCTTGCTACCTGCAAGTCTCCGACTCATATCTACTTTGAGTATCGCCCCCCCATATGCTCATTGAATACTCCTCAAAATTGTTGGAAGCCCTTAAGCCCGAACAGTATCTATCCATAGTCGGGAGCCTTGCTGGGAGGGTAAGTATACTTACCACCACTTACCACCCCTATACATCTTATACTCACCCAAGTTATCCCCAGCATTGGCCTACTCAAGAAGTCCCTTTAAACCCAAGGCCTAAGCATTAGACAATGTAGTAGTTCCGATTTTCTTTTTCGGTATAAGCTACGCACTAAATCCTTTGATATTATATGGCAACCCTTAACCCTAAACTCTACCTCATAGCCCCCCAGATAAACCGTGCAACCATTATAAAGGGACCATCCAGCTTTTGGAAATGCCAGGTGTCCGTTATGGCTGGCATCCATCAGCCTTCGAAGCCGCTGATACCTTTCCTGCCCTGATGCAGGAGCTCAAGGGTTTAGGGTTTAGGGTTTAGGGGTTTAGGGGTTTAGGGTTTAGGGTTTAGGGGGCTTCATTGCGTTGTCTAGGGATGTGAAGGAAATTTCTTGGGGTATGTAGGGATATATGGGGATCTTAGCAAGGGTTAACCATGTAGGATAGGGTTTGGGGCATATGCCCCACCCCACGCTTAAAGGGGTCTTTGTCTAGTTTGGGGGGAGGTTAAGTGTGGCATGGGGTCCAGGATGTGGATCTCCAGCCATGCGTCTTCAACCTTGGGTTTCGGATTGGAGGCGCTTGAGACGTCCGAAGCTGAAGGTATCGTGGTGCGCCGTGTCACCTCTAGGTTGAAGCGTTCTAAAGTGTAGAGAGGGCTATGGATGATGAATTGTGATAATTGTGGAATTGTGGAGTGGGCAGAAGGGTTCAATTTTTATCAGCCACAGGGTGTAGGAAGCTGGAACACCTCTACTCCCTGCTCCCCAAACCCTGAACCGCAGTTCCTGAGGAGCTCAATGGCCATTCGAAGATCTTGCGGAACATCGATGACCGCCTGACAACGACGCAGGCGGAAAGCTTTTGAGCCCAAGCCCCCTGAGAACAATGGCCATGATTCAGCAAACTTTAGGACAAGTACCGGCTAATAGCAAGAATTTCCTTTAAGTTCCTCCTTCGACACCAAGCCGTGAACTAGTAACTAGTTTTGCTCACACGCGTGCTGACATTGAAATAAGCCTGAAGCAGTGCTTCCGAGGAAATTCCATCTAAAGCTGGTGGCTTCCATAAACACGGGGACCCCACCTAGACCCTGAAATAATGTAATCCTTATTATGGTGACCCCATGGATCCTCAGCTCTCTTGACAGGCCTTGGTCCCCAAAGCCTTGGGAAAAATGAAGTGCGAGATTCCTGGCCACGAGGCCACGCATGACTCCACTCTCTGCCAAAAGCGTTTACGTGGGGCTAGGGGGCTTTCCCAAACTTAGGCATTCTCTTTTTGGAAGTCCCTAGGGATTATAGAATTTTGGATCTATATTGGTTCCCCGCCTGTTTAGTTGTTGCTAGACTTTATGGTTTGGGATCCCAAGCTCAAGTTTAAGGTTGCTCACAATCAGGTCTTACGAACCTGACTGCCTAGGGATGTAGGTTCGGGGCCTTTAGACTTTGCAGAGGCGACAGGTCATTGATGTCTAGGGTTTCTTCATTCAAGGTTCACCCTACACCCTAAACCGTTAACCCTAAACCCTTAACCCTAAACCCAAGGTGTAGGGTCGGCAGGGTTGAAGAGTTAGGCAGAGGCGCCCAAGGTCACAGACCTTGCTTCGGCTTCTTACAGGCAGGTTCTATGGTGTCTCATACAGCTTGACAGAGATTACATAGTATTGTGAGTGTAGTGATCCAAGAATGGCCTACCTGAAAAGAAAATGGAAACTACTGGGGTATATATTGTGGTTACATAGGGATGGAAACTACTACAGTATACTCGGGTATATATTGGGATTATATAGGGATAATGGAACAGAAAATGGAAACTACCCACAATATGATGGGGTATATATTGAGGTCATATAGTGATAGTGAAAGAGAAAATGGAAACAACTATGGCAGAACAGTGTGCATATATACCCTAAGCCCTAAACCCTAATAATTGCGAAGGAAACAGGCCCGAAAACCCTAAACCCTAAACCCTATAGGAGTAAGATCCTGAGGCTGACGTGAAGTCGGCACTGGACAAGCTGCTCGAGGATTCAGCCGTGATAAAGGACGCAAGATGTCTGTGGAGTGTGGAAGAGTTTCTGAAAGAGATTTCTAGCTGCAACGTTATGTATACATGTATGTTTTCAATTGCTTACTTTTTTTTTGATAGACATGTGTATATGAACTGAATCCTGAGCTAAGCTGGAGTGTTTGTGTCTTGGCACCAGCAATCTTTGAAGGCATAGGGAAAGTGCACTTCAAAAAGTCAATCTTTCATGTATAGCTTTCCGTTCTGTTCTATCTTCCTTTTGCGCCTGCGCCCCCTTGAATCCTTGAACAGCTTTTCGCCTGGAGGTATGGGTACTTGGGACAGCTAGGAGTTTTCAGGGAGGGTTGCAAGAGGATGTGGTTGAAACCTTGCCTCAATTCCTTGAACATAGCCGCACTTCGCACTTCCCTGAACCCTAAACACAAAACCCTAAGCCCTAAACCCTAAAGCCTACGAAAGCAGGAGCAGGTGGGAACCATCATTGATCGGCTACATGAGTCCGCCAACGAGGCTATGGCCTTCAACGACCTCATGCACAGGCCGAACCTTACAGTGCTACGTAATCCGCATATGACCCCCAAATAAGCTAGTAATTTCCATATTCTTTGCGATTCCCTCATTCCCTGCTGACCAGAAGTAAGGTTCCTGCATTGCAATTAACTGTCAGGGTTTAGGGGCTTAGGGTTAAAGGTCAGATTCACCATCGGGCTGCACGGCTCCTTTTAAGACATTCTGGAGCACCTGAGTTTACTCTGCGATAATGGCCCATTCGCCAACATCAAACACCCCCACCCCTCAAAGATGTGTCCCCCATTATAGTTGGGCGACCATAAGGTGTATTAATAGGGAAAGTGAACAGCAAAGAGCAGCTCAGCAACAGCGATGGCTTTGTCCAGCCGTGCACATAGCCTGTGAGTCCCACTCCGCTAAGTCAGGGTCCCCCTATATGCACGGAAATCGTGAAAGCCTTCTCGAATCAGTTCCAAATTGACCACCGATCGGGCCTCAGGCAGTTTGAGTTCAAGGGCAACCGCCTACCTGAAGAGGTCTCGGAATTCTCAGGAACAGTCTTTTGGATTAATTAATTACTTCAAGTTCACGGCTATAGGAGGGAGTTTCTGTCAAGACTGGCGGCGGGGCTCATGCAGATTTTTCTGGAGTATGACACTGTAGGAGAAAGAGGGTAGCGACACTCTAATGCAACTGCGCGAGGCTCAATTTTTGCTGACGCTTCTGCAGAGAGAGCCCACCATCCGGTAATAGTTGTACGACAGAAAGGAATGAGGACACGCATACAGTTACCCTTATCCGTTGTGGCCCCTATCAGTATCAGCCTTCAGACTTTAGAAGTTTTAACATGCTACCGCAAGGCAGAACACATTTGTTTTGGGTTTCGGGTTCGCTGATTTCGCACCACGCATGATAGATGCGCAACATGTGCAACTAGCCCAACCGGCAGGAAATCGTCCTTTGCATTGAGATGTTATTGCTGTTGTTTTTCTTCTTCTTCTTCTCATTACTATTTCTATTGATAGTATGTACCAGTACCATGATTATTACCATTTCACTGTTGTTATTTTCATTACTGTTGTTCTTGTGCTTCTTACTATCACTATTACCGTAAGCCAGCCTCGGTAAAGTGCATCTTGGCTACACTGATCCTGAAGAGGGTCCCCCTACAGTTCTAAAACCTCAATGATCCCGCTATACCCCCCGCCTTCATAGGCACTTTTCGGAAGAAAGCTCAGGTGGTGTCTAACCTGCACCGTGCGGAAGACATGGCCAAGAAGGAGATGGTCGCTGGCGCGAAGGTCTGGCAGGGCAGACATACTTGCTGGTAACTACTTAGTAAGGAATGAAGGGATTGTATGAGTCCCCTCCCCCAGCTAATAAACCAAAGAGACCCCAATGACTTGCTAGTGGTTAGTAGGGAATATGGGAATATATTATATAGGGATTATGACGGGATTGTCTTCGCACATTCCCTACTAACAACCAGTAAGCATAGGATCTAAGACAAAAGAAGGGATCCTGAAAAACGGAGCCTGTTCTCTGAATGAGGGGGTGGTCACGCTTCCGCGTATGGACCCAGAGCCCAGCAACACACTGACCTCTGTAAACCCCATAGCTGAGCAGCAGGCTTGTTCTAACTGCGGAACAAACTGCCAGTCACAATAGAAAACAGCTTTTTGCAGACAGAGGCTTGCGCAGCGTCTCGGGCTTCCGATGATTTAGCAAAATGCGCAAAGCCCTTCACAAGGGCTCAGAGACGCTGAAGAACATGCCAAACCCCATCACACAGATGCAGTTGCAGGATTTGGTGCGCATGGCAGAAGAAGTTCGGACCATGATCATGGCATCGGCGATGCCAGCACCTTTGCCACCTTTCTGCAATGAGCTTATGTGCTCTGGCTTGGCTTTCTCAGTCAGCACTATACACTTCCAGCTAGTGCTCAGCAAGACAGCCTTCCGACTTGTGGTTGCATACAAGCACTCCTGTCTTGACTGGCAAAAGGAAGTACTGAATTGCTCGACGTAGTTGCAGTTCAACGCGTCCATAGAGCATGTACTCTTTGTAAAATTATGGTTCAGGTGCATGCTTGGCGCGCCGCCGATCCAGAGACGCCCTGCCAATGCAGCAGGGTTCCTGTGAGCTCTGGCCGGGGAGTCTGACTACTTGTAAACGGGGGTTACTCAAAAAAGGGTTTAGGGGGTTATAGCGGGATAACGGAAAATTGTAAAGTATTATTTAGGGTTTAAAGTTTAGGGTTTACGGAGATTTCTGGGATTTGCAGGAATTATGGCGGACCTGAGTACATAGCCATCTCGCAATGGGTCAGGCTTCCAGATGCTTTGCTCACGGGGCAAAGCAACCGTGGAAACGGGTAGACACCAGAAAAGGTTGTCACTGAATGAAGGGTTTAGGGTTTAGGGGTTACGAAGACCGCATGGTACAAGGGTTTAGGTGTGCTTGGCAAGTGTATGTCGGTCCCTTTGGGCAGGTTTCACTTGGCAGCCCACCTTGCATAGCCCGTCTAATATTATAGGCACGCAAAAAACTATTTCTCTTGATCCTCAGCTTCTCGCCTCCAAACCACAAAGCCGGATGAGATGCAAGGGCGCTGTGAGGGATGAAGTCGGACTCGCGCTGCGCGGAAAAAGACCCCTGGTCACACAATAAGGCTAGCTTCTAGCTGCTAACGTTGGATTCGCAGTCGGCTTGTACAGGGCCTCATGGATGTGTGCAGGGTTTCCATCATCGCTGCCTCAGCAGGCATGAGGAAGTTGTGCCCTAACGCGGCTTGGGTGAGTTCATTGCCTTGACAGCGCTAGTGTAACTTGGGGCAGAGATGGCAGCATCAGCATCTGAACTAGGGAAATCTCACGGGTGCTTATCCTTGACGCCAGGCAGGGAGATGTCGGAGGCTCAAAGGCTATCAGAGGATAGCGGATAGGCTGAACACTAAACAGCGACACACTTCCTTCTTCGGCCGCATGCGGACGCAAGTAATCAGACCTTACCATACTCGGGCTTGGGGCGAGTTTACCAGGTGCAACAAAATAGAGCCTTGCTTGAGAGAGGGCCCCTACCTACAACTGTCTGGGTCCCAACAAGCTAAGTTTTGGACGCTACGCCCGGCTCAGTCTTCCAAGACCTCATTCTGGGAAATTTAGTGCGAAAAGTGCTAATGTGCACTGAATCCCTGTGGCTGCCACGAGCACGCCGTCACTGCAAAAAGAGAAGCGCGTCTTCCAAGCATTTGTATATAAGTTATATATATACATATGTTTTATTATTGCTATTATTAGTAGTAGTCCCCTCCCCTAAGATTAACCCACCCACACCCGCTCATACCAAACATTCCCATTGTGTATATCAGAATATTTTGGGCACATTTAATATTTGGGGGATGTGATTACCAAGGCAGGCGGTCTTGGAGCGTGGCACCAGAAGGCCCTGGGGCGCAGCCTGACTGAACGAGCCGCCGTCAGGTCACCCACAACTTGGTAGTTTCCCAAAATGGGTGTTTCCCAAAATTCGGGGTATCATGGGGTACCCTTTTGCGGTCCCTATAAAAAGGATTTTCGTATTTTGGGGTCTATTTTGGGGTCCCCCTAGTTTAGGAAATTACCAAATAAGGAGACCCCAAAACAGAAAAAGGTACCCCTAATTCGTGGAAACTCCACTTAACACTAGGAGTGCTCTCGGCACCCAGTCGTAGTGGAAGTATGTCAGCTATCGTCCAAACTCCTCGTATCCCCCTTAAGAACCCCTATAATACGTACTCCCTATATATATATATGAGCCAAAATCCAACTCCTTAAAGGGAGTTATATAAGGCATTATATGGGGATTACTGTAGGGCTTATTGAGGGGATGCTAGGAGTTTAGATTGTGGCTCATATAACCCCACTTTAGGGAGTTCAGACTACAGCTCATGTGGTCAGCCCTGGACCATGGCTTTAGAACTTCAGCTCTAAACCTTCAACTTGCTAGTGCTGAAGGAAGAGTTGGGGAGTGTTCCCTATAATAATGCCTATATGTGCTCCTATGGTGGCATCTATATTCAATGTTCGCTCCTAAGCCCTAAGCCCTAAACTCTTAAGCACCAGCAGGTCCACGGAGAACCCCTAAACCTTAAACCCCACACCCTAAACCTGAAACCCAAGGAAGCAGAGATGCCTGCGGCTTGGAGGGACGAGGCCATTGGCATAGGAACTATTTATCTCAGCTATAGTCTAAACTCCTCAGATGGGACTATATAGCGTTTATACATTTAAAAGGGGTCTACATGACTATAGTTCATCTTGCATGTGAGTGTGGGGAGTGGGGTGGTTCAAAGACTTGCCTCGTAGGGGGGTCTTTAGGGGCAGGATCGAGTTTTGCAGGCTTCGATTTCCTAAAGCCCTAACACCGCCACTCCTTGTATTTCCCTCATTTTGGAAATTCAAATGTGAAAGAAGATGGAAAATGAAATGGAAACTGGGATTATATAGGGGATTATAGGGGTTATAGTAAATAGTGGTTTCCATTTTATTTTCCACTATCCCAATATAACCCCAATATTACCCTAATAGTACCTTAATATGACCCCAATATTCCCCAATCAGCCAGCCTCAGACTGGAAGGCTGTGCGCGAAGCGCGTTTACTGGAGAAAGAGGCGGCTGCACAGCCCCAGGCTTTGGGGGGAGGTTTTGGGACGAATGTGGTGTCCGTTTAAAGCGTATGTAGGGGTTATAGAAAAGGAGCATATTGGATTATATAAGTTATATAAGGACACACATGGTTATATAGGGACATCTAGGGATTGGCTTATAGATTGGTGTAGTGAAGAATTACATGGGAGATGAAACATGAGAGACTACGCCATTTACTGTGTAGGGTTGGCAGTGTAGGGCTCAGGCTACGAAATGGGGTTCAGGGTTTACGGCCAGGGGTTCAGGGCTTTGGTGTTTCGGCTTAGCTTGCCTGGACCGTCCCACGTTCCCCTGTAGTTCTCTTTTTGGGCGTCATGTTGGGCCCCAAAGAAGGCACTCATCGGAAATTTTGTAGGGGACAGACCCCTTGGTTAAATTCATGGGATTATGACCAGGTGCAGATTCAGTGGGGACTGAGTGATTAGGCATGGTAAGACGCAAGGTTCCTAGCAGTTTTTTCGAAAAGATCCTGTAAAGAACCCTGATTGGACACAACCTGGGCGAAGAAACTAGCAAAACCTGGCCGGCAAGACCCGCGCGGAAGGTACAAGCAGAGAAGTCAGAAGGGCCAGACTTCATCTCCATTGTAGCTGGAACAGTTGCTTTGGCTGCACGATGTAGTGGGATGTAGTGGGATCACCGTCGCCTGCCTCTTCTGTCTGCAGGGGCCGACATGAGTCGGCTGATTTTGTCTTGAGAGGGGAGCGCTCGGAGGAAGTGGAATCACACCCAGCCCCATGAAAGGCTGCAGCAAGGACGGCAGTCCAAATTCTTCTACTTCGTGCATACCTGCTTAGCACCAGTTGCTGTACCTGAAGACAGATCAAGAGAACCTGCTACCAGAAATTGCTCTGCTGAACCTCTTGGTGCCACAGCATAAGATGCCCCAAATCTTACAGTAAGTAGCAGAACTGTGTGCCGGACACCTCAAGGTGAAGTGATCCATTCCAAAATCAGGGACCTGAAGAATGACCAGGAGCCGAATCCAAAACAACGTTAGGTGGGTGCGTTTGGGCTCATCGTGGCCTGGGTGATCCTGATCTCCCCGCCACGAAGCCGCACTTGCTGGACTGCTTTTAAGGAGCTCAAACTAACTTACCATAATAGCAACTAGTAGGTTGCCAAATTCCAGCGAGTAACGCAAGCAGCGTAGTTGCATTGCCGAAGCATTTAATTTAGGGTTCGCGCCTCTTGTCCAGAGGGAGATGAGGCCCTTTGCGAGGTTGACAGCGATTGCTACATTAAGCGTGTGTATAAACAGATGGCGAAACGAGCAGCCAAATGATCCACCTGACAAGTAGGGTTCTGGAAGCAGGCGTCGTGCGCTCTGCAGCAGGGGGCTGGTGACATTGACATGCCCTGATCTCATTGATGTAGTTTTGGGGAGTATTCCGGCCAAAGATGGTTGCACTCCTAAGCCCTAAACCCCAGCTCGGACGAGGACCCGGTGAACGAGGGATGCCCTCATTCGAAGCTAGATTTTGCAAGCTTGCTCCAGGCCCCCAACAGGACCTCTGCCACAGATTTTTGAAGAGCCCATGCCCGAGGCACGACACCTTTCAGGGTTCGCTTCATCGCATCTTTCCGTAGCTGTTAACATTCCCCACCCTCTAAAGTTGAATGCTCTCCCCATATGGTGGCTACTTTTTTTTGTTTTTTTTTTGAGGGGGGGAGGGGGGGGTCCCATAAGAGTTCAGGATTACAGCATTTTTGGGGTCTAGAATGGGGTCCTCCTATTTAGGCAAACTACCACATATCAAATTCTTGGTTGTGCTAATAGCATAGGATATGGAATGCAGGGGTGCTTAGGGGTTTCCCAAAATTAGGTGTACCTTTTGGGGGTCCCTATAATAAGGACTATTGTGGGGTACCCTTACTTTTGGAAAATACCGCTTCATGGAAAGGGAATCATTCGTTGCGTTCCAGGATGATGTCATCCTTGGGGCTTACTGATTCTTCATGCTCATTATTTTCATTACTGGGGTTAGGGTTTAGGGTTTAGGGGTTTAGGGTTTAAGGATTACTGCTATCGCTACTAGTATTACTATTATTGCTCCTTTTTTTTACGATGATTACGATTATTTACTATCAATATTATTACTATGTTTATCAGTAACGATATTCATTGTACATATGCATTATGTACGCTCTTACTGGTGCTGACTCAGGAAGAGGATTTCAATTCGCATGTTCCTATCTCAGGTGAACTTGACGATGCCCTCCTGGCCCCCAGAATGAAGCAGGGCTCATGAGCCCTCAAACCTTGATGAAGCAAGAAAAGTACCGAACACCTGCAGCCCTTATTGACCCCTACTTGTTTGTGAGGCCTGTGGGCCCGTGGGGCACAGATTGCGATTTTGAAAGAGTGCGAATCCAAGCGGGGTAAGCAGTAATTATTCGACATCTACAACTACATACAGGTTTGGAGCCCAATTTCAAATCTTTCTCAGTTTGCAAGGCGGGAAACCTGCCAGAATACTCCCTGAAGTCCTGAGTGCATATTGCCGCATGGTGGCAAAGACAGCTTGCAAATACAACTTTGTTATAGTTTTAAGGCCGCTTACTTGAGAGCAACTGACCTGAGGAATGATATCAGGTTGAGTCCTCTTGCCACACTTCTGTTTGGCCACCTGTGCCTGGCCACCTGTGCCTTGTGATGCCTGGCAACATCAAATGTCCACATCCAGCCAGGGCCTTCAAAAGACGGTGCCATTTTTCAACATACAACGTTGAAGCACTCCCACGAAGAACGGAGCATGTCAAAATTCCGATGCATGTTACGAGCTGAATTCTTGCCACTGTTCAACGCGTAATCTGATTTGCATTTTTTTAACTTGATAGCTTTGCGTTGCATGTCGAGGACTATCCTGAAAGCAACCTAACTGTAGATGCATCCATAGCGCAATGATGGCACTATCGCTTTTATCCTCAACGCACCCTCCGTTGAGAATTTTCCGCTGCCCGAGGGCGGTGCCATGAGTTGCTTAAGCAGTCTTGGGGGAGTGATTGCAGCTACCTTTCCTATATATGGGAATATCAAGATGAATATATGCATTTCATGCAGAGATTGCGCCATTCCTCGGGACTCGCTCCTCCACGTCAGCTTCAGCATCGGTCGGACGAAAAGATGCTTGAGGACAGAAAGCAAGGGACCCAGGGATCATTGTAGCAGTCCTAGATGAATTTTCAAGAGATCACAGAAGGTTTGGATGCTTCCTGGAGTAGCAGCCTGTTGTAGAAATTGCGAATTCGTGACGTGTTTCTCGGTGATGACTTGAGAGCAGGCTTATCGACACATTTTTATGTGCTGGCTTTGCAGATGCAGCGGTGCCTTCTGTAGATTGGCTATTAAGTGCTATTAAGTATCCGGCAGGATAACGATGCAACTTGGCCCTTGCTTTGTGCTTGCACTGCGTGCCCCAAGAATTTAGGATCATGTTTTGGGGTTCAGCTCCCTCATTACTTGAATGACAGGCAATCATAGCCTCGTCTTCCTTTGGGCTCAAGATCAACCCCTAAGTTCTGCTTTCTGAAACATTTGGGCTCAAGATCAACCTAAGTTCTGCTTTCTGAAACTTACAAAGAGTTTCGGGCTTCATTTTCGCTTAGCGCTCAGCTGAGCGCGGGGAGCGGTGTCCTGGGCCCGGGATGGTCGCACGATCAGTTCTGGCTCTGAGTTGCCTGCTCCTGCAGGCCAGGTAATATTAGGGGTTATATAGGGGATTATATAGGGGACTACTATAGGGCTTATTAAGGGGGATACTAGGAGTTTAGACTACAGCTCATATAGGGATAATGGAAAACAAAATGGAAACTATAGGAATTATAGGGATTATAGAGGGATTATAGGGGATATGTTAGGGCTATATTGGGATAACGGAAATTAGGAGACGACCATCATGGGTTATATAGGGATTACGTAGGGATCGATACTCACTGACACAAACTGAATGCTCACAGGATTTACATAAATGGGAGGCCGTCATAAACAAGTTCTCAACATGTATCATTCCATCTTGATGGCTCGAAGTCTGAATGCCTGCGTTGCGGTTGTCATTACTACTCTCATGTAATGACAGATTACGCAGTCATGCCACTGTTAATCCTATTCTGTGTACTGCCATTGATGGACACAGCCCTCCTTAAGTCCATGTTCTACAACAAACCTACGGAATCCAACGAAAACTGGGAAGAGCAATTGCAGTCATGCAAATTGTTGTATCCCAATAAAACCCCAATATACTACTATCCCAATATATAACCACAATATACTATAGTGATCTAATTTAACCCCAATACACTATAGGATCCAATATTACCCCTATTGTAAAAGTTCGGCCTTCGCGAGGTGGTTGCCCAATGTGCGCGCGGCAAGGCAGGCTGCAAGGCGGGCTGTCAGGAGACATATCCCTAAGGGTCCAAGTACCCAATAATTAGGTACTTGGGTATTGGGTAATAGTAGTTATAGTACAGATTTTGGGTAAGTATATGATTATTGGGTACTTGGACCCTGAGGGTATGAGCTATAGTCTAATCTCCTGAAAGGGGGTATATACAGGGATTATATGGGGGAGAATTGTAGGGGTTATTATGGGAGTTACTAGGAGTTTAAAGTATAGCTCATATGAGCCACTGTCTTACACTACTCACAGGGGGTTAGAGGGTCCCTCATATAGTTTAGTATAGCCCCTAGTATAGGGGGGGCCTGGGTGCAATTGTTGTCATGCACAAGGGGTAGTGAGACTGTTCAAATTTATAAGCGCAGTGCCAGTTTTGATGTCCATCGTTTCGCGACATTTTGCCACAGCAATATGTTGTAAAGTTACAACTGAACAGCACAATTCTGGTACTGCAGCAAATGCTGCAGATGCTTCACCCTCCCTTTAGTGACTTTAGTGGCAGAACGCCTCCCAGGGTCAGTTTTCTTCAGACTGGCCGTTATGGTGGTTGGGAAATTCCTCATGAATAGTCGTCTTCGCACGGTCGTCCGCAAAATAGCATCCCCTTGGCTGAGCACTGTGACTCGGTAGCTGCCACGTATGTATGAAGAGATGGTTTACAACGGCCGCAGCATGCTGGAACTTGGCCTAGGGGTATGCATTCTAGTACATTGTGGTTTATATTTGGGGTGTTATCTAACTCATACAATTGTTACTACTGCTTTGCCATTATATTGTTACTATCAGTATGGCTCGCATGATTGCGAGTTGAACATCCCTCGCGCCTTAGCCCGCGAGGCGCGGAATCAGGGCACGACTCTGCTTCAGGCTCCTCAGCTTTGAAGATGTGCTGTGGTTCTTGTACTGATACCAGGGGTAAAAAGGCACCTTTTTTTTTTTAATCGGCAGCAGTGTAGCAGTCGAAATCTAGTAGGTCCAAGCGGAGTGCCTGTGTCATTGTGCCACATTTGTTTTATGCGCTTGGGGTGGACAGTCGATCTCCCACAGCTCATTCTGGCACAGCAGCCAGAGCTCCTGGCTTAGGAAGAATGCAAGGTTTTGTGCATGTGCAGATTTGCCCATAGACGCCTGGTACATTGAAGTTCCGAAGTCTCGTGTAGGGTCCGAGATACGGGAATTCAAACCAAACCACCTGCCCCGAATTTTCTACCGAGGTCAGGATACGACGAGACCAATGCATGTTAATTAACGAAGCCCCAGGTGAATTTTAGTGCGGTGTTGCAATCGCATTCCCCTTTCTTGTGTACTCGACTTGGCCATGCCTCAGATGGGCGATTGCCAGCTTGAACTCGCCAAGGTCCGCGTTCGGGAATCCCTGCAGAAGGCGTGGAGCCATGCCTAAGTTTGGGTGGACTTGCATTTGCCTCTCGCAAGCCTCGGTCTGAAATTGAAAGCCTTCATGTTGACTGCAGCGTTGCAGGCATAGTTGGAGGTTAAAGTCGGTGTTTCTGTTGTCGACTTTTTTCGTGTTTGTCTGAAGTGACACTTTCTTCACAAGTTCATGGGGCGGATGTCCAGGCCCATCTGCGCAGCTACGGTCCAGTCCGGCCACGCTAAAAGTTAGGAAAGTCAAGCAGGAGTAGTAAAAATGATGCTGCTGGGAGTCAATACAACAAGAAGCAGGACAGCATAGGAGTCCAAGTGACAGTGGCCATGCGCATGATGGGCGGTCCTCTAAGCCCCAACTCTGAACCCAAAGTCTTAATCCAGGCAGGAAGGAGAAAATACAAGCAGTGGCAGGTCCCAGCGCAGGAGACTGGGCAAGAGTTCGCGCTCCTCGAAAACGACCCTTGGCTTTCCTGGATGTTAGTATAGGGCTGAGGAGTACCACCACATCCCTGGCTTTTGGTTTATGGAGGGACTCAGGGCACGGAGTTAACAGCTAGGCTAGGCAAGTTTTTTTTAGCTTTTCTGTGCTGTTCTCAAGAGTCTAGGCCGGCGTGTGGGGGTCCCTGCAGCAAACAATCCTTGCACATTTTTACCTGAGTTTTTTCAAATACGCAGGTATATTTTGTTGTCCCGCCTTTCCATGCTAGCCACCCAAAAACCACGGAAACTTCCAATGTCGAAAGCCTGCAAGCACAATCCAGTTTGGGGCTTAGGAATGTGCAGGTCGGACTGGAATGTTTGCTATGGTTGAGTGATGCGCAGTTCGCGCTAGCACTTAGTAACGCGATGCAACGCCATCCTGCTTGATAGTGTTGATGAACAGAGGCCTCGGTATGTAGGGCCATGCACGGTTTTGTCAGCTGCGAGTTTCTCAGGCCTGTAACAGGTTAGGCCACCAGCCAGTACCAGTGGCACCAGAAGAATATGGTAGAGGGATCTAAAGATAACCTTCTAGGGCTCCGGGGCCAGGTTTCCTCAAAATGTAGGACCCTAGAAAACAATATGGGGACTACGCAGTGGCTTGGGGGGTTCCTTACAAGGGAATGCTGTGAAAAAGGCCCTCAAAAAAATGAAGCCCGACCTGCCATAATGATACAATTTTGCTAGAAACAGCCGGTGGTAGCGACTTGGAAGGATTAACCCTAAATAGTAGTTTCCATTTATTTTTCCATAATCCCTGTACAACCCCCGTATATGACCCTTATCACGATGAACACGGGGGATTACGCTTGCCTTGCACCGAGGAGGATGGCAACTGTCTAATGGCAATGGATGCCCCGCTGCTTATCTCGCAAGGTAAAAACCTTCAGCATATAGGGCTTTGGGTTTGAGGGGCTTGGGTTTTGGGCTCACATTTTGTTGTTAAGGGTTCTGGGGATTGACCAATCCCGTAGCAAAAAGGTTCGGAAATTTACATGCCCTTGGCAAATTAGAGCGGCCTCACCTCACCTCACTTCACCCCCTTTGGCGTTTTCAGTAGAATTTCAGGGGTTGGCATTGTGTTAATCTAGCCGGAGACTCGCGAAATGCAACGCCTGCAAATATGAAAGTCCTGAGGTCCTGAAGCCGTGAAGTCTTAGCTGCAGAGACTCAACTGCGAATCTCCGCCAGCTCCCGCAGCCTATGATGCAGCCAAGGATGAACGGCATCCACCCCAGAATGGTTGCCTGTGATGCAGACAACTTCTTGCAGAAGTGGGCGACTCGAACTGCACTGAGACCCCAGAATGCCTACCACCCATGATTATTTGTCCTGATTTAGTCGCCTTCACAGGGTGCGGACGTGAGGAGTAAGCAGATGTCGTGCTTTCCAGAGCCTTCTTGTTGGGTTTGGTAAGGACCGCCGGTAGTACCTGGCAGGGCTTCAGAATTGCAAAGTTTTGCCAGCTCTGGGCACTGCATTGCCAAGGATAGCTGGGCCTATTTGTGGTGTTTTTCAATGTAAACAATCCGCCAAATAATTGGTATGCTTCGGATATAACAATCAGGGAGCTTTCTGCGACCCAAAGCTCCCTACCATTTGTGGGTCACCTTTTGTGTTTGCCTTGTTCTCTTGCATGTCCTGCAAAAAATTCCCATGCCTGGGATGGACAACGAGCCATATTTTTGCTGAAGGGGCTGCTGTTGGGTGAGAGGACATCTTCTGACTGAAGCTCCTACTACATCTTCAAACCTGACCTAGTACCAACACTTTGCCTTATAGCCCTGGTATGACTGGCATATCATACTGCACATGCGGCGCACCGCCTTATGTTAAAATTGCTGCAGCCCCTGTACTCGCGTATCCCCATAGCAATCCCCATGACAATTTGTAGAAGACCTTGGTTTAAGACCGTCTGGCAATGCTTCTGTGTATTCAAGCCCTTAAGACAGCTGAGGCCTACAAGGGGGGTTTGCCCGGTAGCCCCTCTATACCTTGAATTGTTCTACAGAATCAATAGTAGACAATACTACACAATATATTGTATGTATGTATGTATGTATATGTATATGTATATATGTATGTATGTGTACCCCAAGTACTGCATATTGTTTTATCAAGGCCCTGCACAAACCTACCCCTACCCAGTATCTTCACAAACCAGCCCCTCAATCCTGAACTTCGAGAAGAGGGCAAACCCTATACCCTTGTAACACGACCTAATACTCCCTATTCGTATCCCTACAAATCATAATAATCCCAGTTTCCATTTCNNTCATTTTCCATGTTCTTTTTCATCTAATTCTCCATTATGGGGGTATTATCCCTATATCTATATAAACCCTATTTTGAATCTCGTGGGATGTTGGAAACCTACAGATTCCCGAAGTCCACTTGAGGCCTACGAGGAGACAACGGGCCTCGTGAGGCACACTGGAGGCAAATGCCTGGACGCCTCGCAGCGGGAGGCTGTTGTTTTTGTCTCTTTTTTTTTGGGGGGGGGGNNCGGGGTCGGGGCTGGACTTGGGGCATTTGAAGGGTTTGAGAGGTTTCGGGCGTTTTGATGGCAGATAAGTGCTCTGAGGCTCTGGCGCTTTTGTGCTTCAGGTTCAGGGTGAATATAGACTTGATAGTGCTGTGCTTTGGCCCTCTTGCTGTGTGGCTGCAATGCACGTGCCTGTCGTGCCCAAGGGCTTGGGGCTGCAGCAACAGTTCCTTTTCAACCCTTTCTTGAGCCCCTTCCCATTCCTTCACCCAGCCCCTCTGTAGAGCTCCTTCCTGTCCTGTGTTGCCAGGTCCCAAACGGTTTGGTTCACATGTGGGAATGCGACAGCAGAGCCTCGATCCGTGCTTTGAGGGTCGAATGCAGAGGCTTGAATCAGCCTCAATCAGTAGTAATTTCATCCTGGCTACATCTTGGGCATACTGTAATTCTTTTTTTGTGGTACCCTATCTAACTGTCGAGGCCTTCAATCATAGGTCACTCCTGATGATGCCTGCACCCCCTAAATGTTTGACCAAGTGGGTCAGCATTGAGGGGTGGCTGTGGGACTGATGACTTCTGCTTCAGGAAGTTGGGAGTGTATTATAGTATATGATGGTATATTNNATTATAGTATATTATGGTACATTATGGTATATTATGGTATATTACAGTATATTATGGTATAGTATATTGGATTTGGGATTTCTGGCTTCGCTTTGGGACCTCTCCTGGTGCATTCCATTGCCATTCAGCTTGAAGGCTTGACGGTTGCTTTACTTTTTAAGGGCCTTAACATCAGGATCCCTATTGCAGTCCCGTTTTGGGGAGGGGGCTTATTAATCAGGGGTCTACATCAAAGGTCCTTGAGTGTGCAGTTCTTGGGGTTGGGAGATGTCGGACGCTGGTAGTAGCTCACGATAAGAGGACGGTGTGTTCTTGAAGTACTACATGGGAGTTACCGCTCACAAATGTTAGTCTACCATTCTCTGGGCCATGTGCGGCTGCAGCCAGAAACTCATACATCTGCATAAGAATTGAAAAAGCTCAGCTACCCGCAAGGATGATAAAGAAGTCATTTAGGCTTACTAGGTTTCATTGGAGGTTGCAAAGCTTGTTAGGCTAAGGTTTGGGACCCTTGAATTTTCCTTCCGACGATGACTGAGGCAACGAGAACCAGATGTGGGAATGGGACTCCGGGAACACCGGGCGTTTGAAAAACCGCTATGGCATATGCCTGGATGCGCCAGCGCCACAGGCGCTGTCTACCCCCCCCCCCGCCCTTCGCAAGGTTTTGTTGGGCTACCCCCTCATCTGAGTAGCTTGAATCGGCATTGCAGGGATCTGCAAGAAGGACTGAGGGCTTTCTCCGAGGGTTTGTGTGAGGATCAGCCAAAGACCAGTCGGCAAGTTTTTTGGGCACTTCCCTACCAGAAGCGAAGCTTTTTCTGGGCATACTGTAAGTATGGTTGCTCATCCCTTCTAAGCTGAATACTTGACTGGAATCCATAGCACAGATGTTGAAAAATGCCCTTCTACGCGGAAACATGCATCCTGCTCCACACCTCTTCTGGCATTTTTGTCGATAGAGTCGGACCCCAAACACACATTCAGGCACCCAAAAAGGGAGCAGAAGCCCGCGTGTGTGGGGTATGCATTTTGCGCCGTAAATTCTGAAAGCCACCATACGGCTGCTGTAATCTTTGAGCAGTAGGGACCCAGTCAGGTGGAGGGCAGTGGAGTCCACATGTGGACCTGCGACGAGTCGATCAGCAATCAGAAGTGGCATTTCGTTCCTGCTGGCACGGAGAGACTGGGTTTGGGGAGTGGGGTGCGAGCGTAAAGACTATTTTGCTGCCCATTCTTCTTTGACATTTCTGCTGTCCTTCTTGAGATGATTTTGGAACCATCCAGCTGATGTCGGCTGCATGCCTCAAACATGGAAGGGGTTGCATTTATCGATCAGTTGTCCCCTGAGGAGAACTTTACCACTTCTGGTGTTCCGACCTCGACCACAAAGGAAGGACAGACTACGACCCTTGCCTGCAGAAAGTTACACACAAATTCAAGTATGCCCAGAGGATTACCGAGGTGGAACAGGCAGTGATGAAGCTTGCATTTCCGTTGTGCACCTGCCAGTATGGCTGTTGGCGATCAGTTGAAGAAGTAGGTAGGGCGCGTTAGACACCATTTTGGACTCCTTGATCGGCTCTTTTGTTTGAATGCAGCTGAGGGAGAGTACGACGACGGGGCCCAAGACGACCACCACGACTACGCCGCAGCCCCTCTCTGCCATCCGGAACTGCCAGCTGGTGAGGGCCTTATCCAGCTCTGTGGTGCCCATGCATCCCTTACTTGCTGGTGGTTAGTAGGGAATATTTAGGAATATGGGAATATTTTACATAGGGATTATAGGGATTATAGGGATTATATTCCCTTATTCCCTACTAACAGCCAGTCAGCTTAGCTACTGCTGCAACTTCGCTGAGAGTTGATCGAATTGATGGTCATTCGTAGCGACGAAGCAGTAATGTGACAGTACTGCGCGTCAGCAGCCAGGATTACTGCTGTAACCTGTCGCGCACGTGTTGCTAAATTTGGTTGCTCAGGAGGTGGTAGTTGCCTAAACCATTCAGTCATCCACAGGCTACAAGTAGTAGGTTCCCTAAATAGGGGGACCCCAAGATAGACTCCCAAAAATCATAATCCTAATTATGGGGACCCCTGAAAAGGTACCCCTTATTCTTGAGAAACCCTCAAGTCTTTCTGGCGACTTACGCATTCTGATGGCAAGGGGCGGGCCCTGACAGGAGCCGTTAGTGGAAGGATCAGGCTGCCAGCTGCTGGAAACTTTCGAGGGCTCAGAGCCTTTTGCCTGCACTGGCCTAATTCAACTATACTCTAAACTCCTTAAAGGGGGTTATTTAGGGGATTATATAGGGGACTACTATAGGGGCTGGGGTAATATTAGGGCTACATAGGGATAATGGAAAAGAGAATGGAAACTACTATAGCATATTGGGGTTACATAGGGTTTAGGGTGTAGGGTAATTGATCAGTCCATGCCTCGATGATGCAAGTCACAGCATTGACCGAGCATGCATGGATTTCAGGGAGGCATCTTTACAACAGTTGCTCTTGACACGAAGACCCTGCATGACCAAAATCCCATACTTCCCAGGGTATAAGGTATGTAGCGTCATGCAGCATCAACCGTAGCATTTCTAGATTTCTGGGAGCCCATCCTACGGAGAACCTCCAGAGCTTTTTTTTGATACTGCAGGGTCTAATATTTGGCCGGAAGAGTGTTGATGGCGACTGAGACTTATTCAGGCTGTCTGAGGCTTGAACAAGTGGAGGGTTCCCTTCAAGGGGCATCCTGGATCCTGTGAGACATTGCATTGTCACCCCTGGCCTGAGAAGGAGTGCATCATCATGGCTCTTTGTGGCATGCTTCAGAGTTATTATCGATCCGCGGGTTGTGTATGTTGTTCACAGCTGGCACTTTGATCATCATCTTGCTTGATCTGGTATCTGACCTTGTGAAGGCATGCAAGCAACGTTTGATCATGAGAGCGTAAGTTGGGGAGCGCACCTGCAGGTTTGACGTCGGCGAAAACGGGCAGGACGAGCATTGCGCTCCTGCACGTCAACATCCAAACCTTGGTGACTCTAGGGGGTTTCCGCGGATGTTTACAGCTTTCTGAGGTTACAGCCCAACACCAAATCATAACTGTGCTGCGGATATATAATGATATATATATATATGCATACACAGCTTGCAAACTCCAAAGTCACTCTTTCGAATTCTCAACTGCAAGGAATTTGGGTGCCCCTTCTGCCAATTGAATCCTGCAGGAGACGAGCGGCCGTCATGCCTGCTTGGACAAGCTCCGCAAAGTCGACAAGGCACAGGGATAATGGGATAATGGAAAAGAAAATGGAAACTACTATAATGGGTTGTCTAGGGTATATATAGGGATAATGGAAACTACAGGAATTATAGGGATTATATAGGGTTTATTTAGGGATTTTAAGGGGTATGTTGGGATTTATGTTGGGATTATATTGGGATAATGGAAAAGGAAATGGAAACTACTGTAATATATTGGGGTAATATGGGGATAATGGAAAAGAAAATGGAAACTACTATAGTATTATAGGGTTAATATGGGGATAATGGAAAAGAAAATGGAAACTACTATAATATATTGGGGTAATATGGGGATAATGGAAAAGAAAATGGAAACTACTATAGTATTATAGGGTTATATATTGTCAATTGCATGGGAATCAGCAGACAAACCTCGACGAGATTCCCTGGAGCCAGACTTGCAAGGATGTACGTGCTGTGGGAATACGTTGCTTTATATGTGCTCTACAGGCGGCTGTTGTACCCCCAATGTCAAGATCTTTCTCTTTCAAGATCTTTCTAGTGGATCATTGCCATCGCTGCAAGTCGCGAAGTAAGGTATGGCCTTCTGCAACACTTTTGAAAACAGTTTGTTTAGTCGCGAAGCACGTTTAACACCAGCAGGAGGTGCCACCTGAATAAGTGGTGGATAGTGGTGGTGAAGGTTGAGAGTCAGAGAATAATCCCACGTGCGGGGACGTTCGCGCAGTGATGGGCATTCAGGAGCTAATGTATTGGCATAGTGTAAGTGTTCCTACTGACTTTGAAGTTTGAATGGGGGCTCAGCACTGCAAACTATGATGCGAATCGAGTGATGGCTACTTACAGTCAGGGAGTGGCAGTGATTCCAGCGTGGCTTGGACCCTAAACCCCTAGACCGTTAACCCCACTATGCTTCAGAGCACCTGTGCACTCTCTGCCGCCCAGCTGTCTCGAACCAGGCAGATACCTTCGTGCACTCCCTTGGCCGGCACCTGGGATGAGGGAACTGTTTGCCTTCCGAATGCTTAGTAGGGAATGTGGGATACTTACAAAACTTCATACATTCACTGATTCGTTACGAGGCACAATTTGTTTAATGTCTTTGCGTTGATGAAGCAATCGGAGGGGGATGCCCCCCTTTTTTGGGGTTGCAATTGAGCCTTTCAGATCACCCCTTCAGCCCCAAATCCAACCCGGAGGCTTTGGGCAGTAGAGTCCCCCATAAGTAGATAGAATATTAGGCTTAGATTGAGGTTATATAGGGATAATGGAAAAGAAAATGGAAAGTACTACCTAGGGTTTAGGGTTTAGGGTATAGTCTCCCTGAAGCAGTGAGATGGTAAGTTGGATGACCTTTGCTCTGACCGCATGCGGTGTAATCAGTAATCATCATTTCAAAGACAACCCCCTCCTATTAAGCCCGCAACCCCCTAATATTAGATATTCTTCATGTATATATATATATATACAATTACACGCATATGAATACATATATATATATACACATGTATATATATATATATACACATGTATATATATATATATATGTATATATGTTCGGGGTTGATTTTAGGGGAGGTTATATAGCTACCTATGCACCTCCAAGAATTGGCGGCCCACCCCACAATCCCGCACACCTGCCCACAGGTGCGAAGTCTGGCACTGCGCTACACTGGCCCGGGTGCGGATGTCTGCGGGTCCAGGTTGGGAGGATGTCTGTGGAGAGACTCGTAGGTTTGAAGCAGTGGGTAGTTGCGGATTACTACTACCTTAACCCACCAAAACCTACTTTTTTGTAGGTTCCCTCTAAAGTCTATATTAGGGAATATAATAGGACCCTACCAAAAAGTATGTTTTGGTAGGTTAAGGTAGGGCTTACTAGCATGGATATGTTGATCATGGGGTTCCGCGCGCCTTCAAATGAGGGTCCCTCACCAAGACCCGCAGACCACCCAAATAATCCCTACATGTCGGATATTGCCCTCACCCGTAACAGCTGGACAAAAGGTGTAAGCTGATTACAAATGGCCTTTGATATAATACTATTATGGACTTCGTAATGGGGGGGCAGTACCCAACCTGGGGGGTATGACTCCTCTACCCTCCTGGCATGAAGCCCACAGTCTGTTTCGAAACATCGCTAGGTGGAGGTCTATCTGAGTCACCCTATGCCGTGCCTCAGAGAAGGTTATAGTAGGGATCTGACGACGCGGTTTCATTGCGATTGATCAAGCTCTGTTCCCTGAGCGACTTGAATTTGCCGTGTGAAGGTGGGATTGGGTGGGATTGATTCGGACGTTGGGCATAGTGTCTCTGAGTTTGAGATGAGAAAGAGAGCGGCGCCGGGAATTGCTGCCTTTTGAATCTGGTTGGTACTGTTCATGTTGCAAACCAAGGTTACTCTGAAAACGGCGGACGGCCACTTCATAACTGCAGCTGCAGATGGGTCCATGAAAGCGGACGAAGAATCCTTCGTGCCGGAGGCTCTGTTCTTGCTGATGCCCGCGGATGGCGACAAAGTTGTTCTGAAGGCCCAGAACGACAGATATGTCAAGGCAGAGCCAGGTGGTCTAATTTCCGCGGTATCTGAGAAGTGGGATGATTGGGAGGAGTTTGACCTTGTGAAACAGGACGGCGGCAAGGTGTCCTTGCGCAGTTTCCATGAGAAGTACATTGCAGCAAAAGATGGCAGTGTAGCCGCGAATAGCGCAACTGCCACAATGCTAGAGCTCGTGAACCGGTCCATGGCCAGTCAGAATGGCTCCGCGGAAGCGCACGCTTTCCACAAGACCATTTCAGACTTGACAAGCCATTCGGTATGCAGCAGGCCATCCGAGAAAGCAGCTGTTCGATGCTGCTCTAGCGCTGGTGCTGTGGTGAAGGAAGATTCCTATGGTTGCCACAACCTTACAAATTACTCAGAGGCGGTCGCCATCTGCGAAGCCGAAGGCCTGCAGCTCTGCACAGATGCGCAGGCCAGAAGCTGCACGGACTGCAGCATTTGTGGCTCTGCTACCCAGCACATATGGACTTCCTCTACATGCAGTGGGACGGAGGGGCTCACCCAACGGCGGCTTGGGCAAAGGAACGACCGCGCCTCCGTCTTCAGCAATTTCTGCGGCTACCAGCCGGATAAGGGCGGCCTGCACGGAGAGGAGGTGAGGTCCACAGTTTTCGTCAAGCTGAGCCTTGGCTTCTGAAGATGAAAGCAGCAACTTGAAGTTTTGGTTTAGGTTGTTCGTCTCTCTCCCTGGTGGCTCCTGAAATTAAGCAACAGCGCCGAAGGATGGAGTGGAACTACAACGACATTGCCAAAGAGTGTGTGGACTCTTGCCGGCAGAGAAGACTAAACGAAGCAAAAACACAACCTTATGGCTGTAATCAGCGAGCCAGGCTCTGCACCAACTGACACTGGCACAAGCAGATACAAGCTTCAAGCACCTTCAATCACCCCTGAAATGCTCTCAGTAGAGGCTGTGCATCCCAGCAGTAGGGCTTTTGCAAGGAACTGACATGTCACAAATATCTTGCAAGGAATATCTGGCGCCCAATGGCTTCGATGCTGTTCAGGTTGCGCCTGTCACGGAACATGCTTCTCACTTGCATAGATCTAAAGAATCTTTTTCGCTGCTAGGCAGGGGCAGAAGGCAGCTGACCTCGACCTCCGACCAGCTAGTGCAAGCATGCTCAGGCATAGAGGTCAAGTCGTCAGGCTTTGGAGCTCCAGGCCTTTTCTTCCTTGAAGGCATGCTTAGCGAGGACGGAAATCTTCAACAACACAAGATGGCTCAGGATGCATTATCGTGCTGTGCTTGCTTCTGCTCGCACCATTTTGTGAATATTGTAGTTGCCTGCTGCTGCCATACGCTTGCAAAAGAAATGCTAGACATTCCGTAGCTACATGGAGTAGACAAGGCTGCCAAGTCTAGGCAAAGCAAGCAGGTATCATCTGAGCAGGAATGCGTAGCACATTCAGTCTCCGTCAACGCCAGAAAGCATCAACCCAGCAAAAGCCCTAAAGCAAACAGGCTAGCAACTACGGCCTAGAGCTGTGAACATCATGATCTAATATCCTAGCCCTATGGGCTATTCCAAGTATCTACACGCCCAAAAATGTCAACAGCTTTGGTCAGTGGATCCGTAGTTCAACCACCGGCCTACTCTCTACAGAAACAACTCAGGCGGCGCACTCTACAGCAGCAGGTCACTACAAGTATGTGTCCTTTACTCACCTCAGATACCCTCCTGCACACCAGGCTGTAAAGAATATCTGCCCACTACTCCCAAAACTTGAATCGAGACTGTAGGATATAAAGCTTCAAACAGGGCGGGCTCCAATCCTAGGACAAATTACGATGTTCCTCATCAGAAGCCATAAGCTCCGCGAGCCCCGCGCATACCCATGAGCCTGATGATTCTGAGCCATAAGGAACCACTGGGCCTGGAGAATCCCTTTCTTCAAGCCACTAGGTAGATCCCGTGGTCCTACAGCACATAACCTCATGTGGAGATTCTGGGCATCGAGATCGCAATGCCTTTGTGACAGGAACGCCTACCCTCATGAGGCTTAGAACCTTTTAGGGGTTGTGGTGTAGATCCCCATGGCAAACGTGGAAGAGTAAAGAACTTTTCTCTGCAGTCCCGAACTCAGATTTTGGATTATCAGCGCTGGGCGAACTAGCCCTGAACCCCATTGCTGCTATGCGCCCTCTGCACGCCCAACACACAAAACTGAGGTCCTGGGCTATCAGTGGCTGGGTTGCTGTTAAGGAACTCAATTTAAGTTACGATGTTGGGGAAATTATATTAATTACTATATATATACCCATTATGATAACTTAATCTTCAAATCCTTAACAGCAACCTAGGTGGTGGGTGAAGTATCAGCCAGTCTCTGCGGGTCTGGACACGCGATCGGGCACGGAGCAGGAGTTCAGGTCTGGCCCTTGCTAAGGGTTTAAGGTTTAGGTTTGGGGGTTTCAGGTTTAACGTTTTCGGGTTTGGGGATTTAGGTTTGGGGGTTTGGGGTTTAGGGTTTTAGGATTTTAGAGTCTAGGGGTGTAGGGGTGGGGCTTTCTTGGGATCAACATAGGGCTCATAGGGTTCTCACAGGGATGAAGCAAAGGCTTTAAGCGAAAGGGTGTGGGGATACGTGCTCTAGCCTAGCAGAGCGGTCTCATGCTTAAACGTCCTGAAGATCAAGAAGGTTCAAAATATTTGCAAAACAATAATCGAGCAGCATGGGTAGGCCAGATGGGATCATGATTGTGGTGTTTGCGAGAGGGTCTCAAGATGTGGTCAAGGCTTTCCGAGTCCTAAAATTCGCGCCGTTGAAGGCTTAAGGGCTCCCTTGCTTGCACACCAGCACCTGCGCATTTGTGCTAGGGCGATGGTGGCTACTTGCCGCGCAGCGGGCGTGCAAGTCATTGTGGACATCCTGATGAACCACATGGCATCTCCCTGCTCCTCAGACACATCGAAGAAGGTATAATCTAGAATTGTCTGGCCCTCAATCCTAAGCAGTACTTTCCAGGATTACCATTTAATCCCCATATAACCCCTATGTAACTGTATCGTGGCCCCAATAGTATTGGGTTGCACAGCTACAGAAGGAATGCAGCTCAGAGTCATCCTTCCGCTGTCTCTTCCCGCTTGCCGTCCCCATTTCCAGTGTTGTTTTCCCGTGGCAGAAACAAAGGAGGATATGACCTATTAAAGGGGGTTATATAGGGGATTATATAGAGGACTACTATAGGGGTTATTAAGGGGGATACCAGGAGTTTAAACTATAGCTCATATGGACTCGGACTTGTCGCTGTTTTTGTTTGTACCTTGCTGTTGCAGTTGTTGATGGTGGTGTTGGTCTTGGGGGCGGTGGCGGCGGTGGTTTTCGCAACTGCTGCTGCGGCTACTACTTGGTGTGAAAAGTATTTGGCAGTCAAAGCGCAGCACCAAGGTAAGAAAGCCACGAAAATCAAGAAGAAATCCAATTGGAACGAAGAGGAGGCTGCCTGCTCCTTCTTGCCTTGGGTCCATGTAATATTGTATCTGAGTCCTTCAATGATTCAAAAGTCCTCCATGACTCAGTCTACCTGTGCTACATGGTGCAAGTGGGAGCCCAACAGAAGATGTTACGACGGTGCTCGAGGCTCCTGACGTTCGCTTAAGATGTTTAGAGGTCAGTTCCGGCCGGGGACCCTATCGTCCATTCAGACCCTGGGGCTTCAAATGTCACTTTAGGCACCGTTTTTGCGGGGTCCCATCTTACAGACGCCATTGCTTGAGGACATATGCGGACATGTTTGTTTTTCACGTGCCAAAAGAAGCCAGGGGCTGGATGGACGTGGAGAGTAGAACTCTATTACCCTCACAACAGGACATGCCTTGCGTCGGCTGGGGTGGCAGCCGCTACGGAAACCGCCTGCAGAAGGGTGCACGAGGTGCGTGGGGTCAAGAACTGCCGACAAAAGCACAATGACTAGCGTATGGCATCGTGGCAAGAAGCACAGCATTCACTCAGGCTTGTAAAGCGACATGCTAATATACCGTGCACATCCTTTGAATGCTGATCTAGTGCTACTGTTGCTTGATTATATGCTTGGTTGAGTTGGCCTCAGCAGCTTCTCTGTGCCGCGACTCGGTTGTTGAACACGCACACACACACACACTTGTAGGTGTGGTTGCCCGTCAAAGGTAGGGGGCCGTAATGGAAATGCACTCTCAAAAGGAACCCTGTTTGTGACAGCCACGCATTTCATGCTTGGAGCAGGATGGGATGCAGCGAACCCGAAGCACTTTCATCACAAAAAGGAGGACCGACTGCACGCCTGGCGCGAGGCTTGTATTTTTGCAAGTCCTGTGTTGAGTGGGGCGTGTAGATAATTACTGCTCAAACTTTGCACAAACCGTCCATCCAAGTGCAGGGGCTTGCTATGGAAGGCAACCAGGTCCAGCTGGACCTTTCACTTGGTGAATCCGTGCTTCGCAATGCGGAGCCCGCAGACATCAGCAGGAAGATCTGTTTCTTTTAGAACGAATCTACAAGCTTGTAGGACATCTAAACAGGAGTGCTTCAAGAATACTTGTCTTCTATTACATTCGAGCATCAGGAACTCTTTCAGTGCTTTGTGTTGTGCCCTGCGGGATTGCTTTGAACCATGAGGCCTTTGTTGCATCCTTTCTGAGCTGCAAGTGCATCCTGGCAGGACACCACAGAGCCTGCGTGCAAGGCTGGGCTGCAGTTCTGCTCCTGTTGAGTGGATAAGGCAAATTGGAGCTGCAACGAAGTCTGCAAGCCTCAGCCAGGGAGTTTGGGCACAGCAAGCGTCGACAGCATTGCATCGCTATTTCGTTTTTTACTGCCTTGTTGAAGCAAGTTTGTGGGCACAAGCAGGTCCTTAGGGACTTGAGGTCTAGAGGTTGGCTTCTATTACCCAAGCTGTAAGCTTGACCTACTCTATTTGTGTGATGTACTTGCGTCACTTTCCATAAGCTTCTTCTCTCAGGCTCGAGCCCGCCTTCGATATGTTGTAAGATCCATCACCCGTTGCATGAGCCTATGGGTTCCTGGTGGCTCTGTGTAATCCCTGGATGCTGGGTGTAGCCCTAAACCCTATAAGCTTTGGCAGGTGGGCCCTCAGACGGGCTGGCTGTGCCCAGACGATGACTGCACCCCGTGCGATATGCAGCTTGCCTCTTCATCCAAGTGCCAGGGAAGCAAGGTTTCACATGGTAGTCTACAAAAGACCGGTGTCCCAAACGGCATGGCATGGTGATCCCCATATGATGCCCAAAACTGGAAACTGGGACGTTGAGCGCACTAGCTGCTGGTCTTGCAGTCTCCAATGGGCAAGCCTGCATGTTGCCTTTTAGACCTGCTTGTCAGGTGTTTTTTTCGGATTGATATTTTTGCTCAAGACTTGGGTGAAGCATGCAAACACGGCCGTCGACGGACATGCTCGTGGAAGTGGTTGAGATCCCTATGCCTTGGTGGAGCCACTGTGACATTGTTCAAATACAATTTTACATTTGCGCCAAATGTATCGCATTGGAGAAATCATGTGTGCATGGTGTCTTCTTCCAACATGACTGAGGCCAGAGCCACTTGGACATGCTCCGCCGAGACCAAGAAGTGCATGCACCAGTTGCTTTGCCCGAGAAGATGGACCGAGCCTCAGCAAGCCCTTGGACTTTGCCGCTGCCGCCTCCGCTGCCTCTGCAAGAGGGCCTTACCTTGGGACCTCCCAGCCAAAGCTGGGACCTCGAGCACTTGGAGCCCGCATATGTACGCTTGGATGGAGTTCCATCCATGAGGATGGCAGGGCGAAGTAGTAAGGTGGTTGCACCGCCGCCGCCAGCTGCAAGCTGGCTTCATGAGCTTCATGAGATTCATGAGGAGCCGCCCCGCGAGATCAGGCCGCCGCCAGGGTTTTCGAGCGACCCAGGGCTCAGCGGACAGCGGCTGAAGCGAGTCCTACACGTGAAGCAGGCACCAATCTACAAGTACAGCGAGTGGTGCGCTCACTGGGCCGAGAAAGGAGGGAGGGCTTCCAGCGACCCAATGACCCCACGCTCTGACTTGACCAAGTCTGAGTTCGATGTGCAGTACGGGGCTTGGCGGAAAGCTTTGGTGGAAGGGCCTCCGCGAGGGCGGGGTGCTCGCATCCTTGAGCTGAATCAGCATTTGCGTGAGCTCTGAAGGGTTGTCAGGTAATGTAGCAGCACAGGGCCGTGCCTTGAGAACGGGCAGATCCTTTTCTGGAAAAGGACTCTGCACGTACCTTGCCACTACGCGATTTAAATCCCTATATATTTTGTCTAGTCATCTTTAAAAGAGGCCATGCTGCCTGGTTAATTGAACCGCGGCCGCCTCTGCTGGCTCAGTGCCGGCACCTTTCCCGCCCTTGATAGGAGGGGGGAGGCGATAACTGGGCCCGCGCCCATGGATATGGACCTCTCCTTCGCATGGCCTTAGACATGACTTCCTTGGTTCGACCTGGGGTATGGACCCTGAAACACAGGAATCTACCAAAAATCGATTGTGACTGCAAGCGGTCCTGGTCCTTGATAAGTATGTCATGGGGTAGAGCTGTCATTTGTAGCGAAGTTCGGTGGTGATGCAGTTTCCTGAAATTTCCACCCCGCGCGCATGCATTCCATGAAGTAGGTGCAAGAGGCATTTCCATGTAAGATCACTGGAGTATTGTCCCACGCAGGATCCGCTCCCCTGAATCGCGCACTGGCTTTGCAATGCACCACATCTTCTTTTCAATGTGTTCGTAATGACCTCGGAAGTCCGGATGTCCAAGACCATGTGCCTGTCACGTGCATTGGGGCTCCAGTCGGCGGGGTGGTGAATGCGCTGCGGCTGTTGGCTGCACGTCTCGGCTCATGGCAGTATTGCTAGCAATCACAACTACAGTTTTTACGGTTCATCATCGTGAAAGTTGGCACGCTGGCTGTCATGATTGATTTGCAGCAGTCGGGTTATTGTTAGACACACCCTGGCAACTGCTTAGCAAGAATGTTTGTCGCCTCAAACGCCAGCCAAAGGACGTATATGATAGTTTTTCACACCCTTACGACAACTTCGTAGTTGAGGCAGCGATGTCAGGGAAAGGGAGTCCCACATCAACTAATTATTCACCGCCCGAGCTCTGTTGTGCTCCTTTTTGCTTTCCTGGGGACCAGCAAGCTGTGCGGCTGTGCCCTCAGCAATTCAACATAAGAAACAGATTTTGCGCAGCCGCGCATAAGTGGCGCGCATGCACCCGCCACAAAAAATGGCCTGAGGTCCGCTGTTGCTGCGCTGTGCACATGGTCATGGACCGGTTCTAAGGAAGTGTAAGTCTTCGTGGGGCAAGTTTTACACCCACGCGTAGTGCTTGACTGTCTACAGTGGATACTTTGGGACCACCCAGTAAATTGCACCCCTTGACAAGCTTAATGTATGTGCTTAGTGTCGTCGCTGCAGTAGGAAGCTCATGAGTGGTAGTACGGCTATTTCTGGTATGCCACTACCTGCACAGGTTTGCGACCATGCTGGAACTCACCCGTTTGCTTCAGAGTTTTTGCCCTTGCGACTTCCAAGGTATGCTCTCCCAGACTACGCGACCGAGCTGCCAGAGGTCCGGGACATGCAGTTCAAACACCTTGAGGACACAGACACTACTTGAGGTTCCATCTTTCCTCCTGCAAACAAGCACGGGAGGACAAACATAGGCACTTCTACAAGGACCGTCGTCTCAGTAAGGCAGCTTAAGGTCTACTTCAGGTTAAGAACCCCCCTGCCCCACCCCAGTGTGGATGCCGGGCCGAAGCCTCCGTAGTTTCGGGTACCCAGGTCCATCAGCTGGGGTGCAAGTACTACCAGCCAGTTGTATCACTAGCCAGCAGCTGGCACTTCCTAAATTTGCGCCTTGGGGGATTGGATTTTGCAATTACGTTGTGGTGTGTAATTACGTTCTTGAACTTGTAATTTGCAACTACGCTTGGGTGTACTCGTATGCGGTCAACCTTAAGCGGTATGAGGACACGTGTCAGGAGTAAGCCAGCCATGGCCATCTGCGGGGCTCTGGGGTCGTGGGGTCTGTAGACATGAAGTGGAACTTGCAAGCAGAGCGTAAGCGTTGTCCATGCCGCATGAAGTCGTGAGATTGTGTCCTCGAGAAGCATTGCGCTTCCCACTTACTTGTACCAGCAGGTGGATTTGCACCAGACGGCTTCGATAACCCAAGTGCACCAGACCATTGAATACCAAGTTGTAGACTCTGCCCTCTCAAGCCTTTGGGTTGGGAGTCTCACTTTGAGAAAACCCTTGTGGCAAGACCTTTACAAGTTATCCCTGAGAACTCTCCACCCCTCCCAATGAGAAGGGTTCAGGGTGTAGGGCCTCAGGAGCTCTACCACATCGGTGTTACAGCTTTGCGGGTGGCTGCTTGGATGGTCTTCATGTTAGGATAGACCTGAAGATCATAGTCCCCACAAGCCCTTTTGGGGCCCTTCTAGTTCCAAAGGGTTTCCGGGGTTGCGTGCATCACAATTAATGAAAGAATCCCAGTTTAGGAGTTGCTCAATTGAACAGTTGTGTGCGTAGCATAGTCCTCGAGATGGTGTTGGCGGTCCCTGACGCCTGAAGTACAATTCGTAAGGAAGCCCCACTTGGCTCCTTCCCCTTCTCTGTTCTTGCACAGGGAGCATATCAAAGTTAGGGGGTTGTGATGGCTTTGAAAGCCCTCACAGATGAGCCTCAATGCTTTCTTGCATCACTCCGGGTGGACCGTGACAGATCCTACAGCCCCTACAGCCCCGGTAGTTCTAGAGTACCATACCTAATAAGGCTCCCCTGTTTCTGAGCAGCAGGCATAAACACAACACCTGAACTGTGTAATGCTGATGCGATGACGATGATGATGATGATGATGATGAGGATGAAGTAACCAGTGCAGCGCGCCTTCAGCAGATGTAGAAGGTGAGAGGCGAGCATGTTGCAGCTGGAGCTAAGATTTAGGAGTTTTCAAAACACCGCGTATTGCTTGTGTGTTCAGGGTGCTTATGACATACTGTAAGATCTTGGGCAACACAGGTGGCTCCAGTTTTGTAGAAGGCGTCGTTCCATGCAAATTCAATTTGTTACATACATGGTTCCCTAAATGTCCTACAGTTTCCATGTGAGCTTGCATGCTCGTTTCCATGTACAGTAGTTTAAAGTTTCGACATCTCAAGATCCTTGTATGGAATCTATTTATACAGAAGGCATTCTTCTTGCGGAGTTGGAGAAATGCATGGGCCCCGCGTGGTCATTGCTGCATGACCTTGGTCTCAGGCTGCATAGGGCTGGGGCTCCCCATCGTAAGGACAAGTTATCCTGGAGAACAGAATATCTTGGGGTTATAAAGGGGCGACAGCCGGAAACCCCTACATAGGGTCCTAAGCTAACACGGAACCCCGGTAGAGCCTCCCCTTCAAGGGACTGTAGTCCTTCTGTGCCAGTTGTAATTGTTTTCTTGCTCGGCAAGACTTTTCCTTTTCAATTTCGGGATTTTTTGCATACGCCAGGCTTACCACCCCAAGCAGGACCAGAATGTAGAGCACCCCAGCTGCTGTTCAACCTGAGGATGCCGCTATTTACCACCACGTCTATGAATTGGCAGACGCTGAGCCTGATGTCTGCGCTTTCTGTGCTTCAGTAAGAGACTAATCTTTGGGCCCAAATAACTCAATATTGTTCCTTGAGCCGCTTGAGCCCCCTTGAATGTAGAAGACTAATCTAAACCCTAGTAGTTTCCATTTTCTTTTCCGTTATTTCAATATATCCCCAATATTGCTCCATATATCCCCTACATACAGGTTCATTCACTGCAGTCCAAAACAGGACCTCTGTGGCTACTCCCAACTGCCACAGGACATAATGGATCACGATGCTTTTGTGGTTATAGTCCCTCCTAAGTAGACCCATATACCCCATATTTTATCCACTTAAGGGGGGCTATAGGCTACCCGAAAGACCCCGGGACACGACACAAGTTGAAGGAAGCAGTTTCGGGCTTGCATGCAACCTGAGGATATGCTCAACAGGCTTCCCTGGGATTTGGTCTACCAAGAGTGGTGGGGCGAATATCCACCTCATGACCGTACAGAGTATGTGGGCGAGTACCGGGACGTTGCCTACCGCTGGCACTTGGTGTGCTTTGGCAGGAACTTAAGTTGAGATCGCGCTGTCACATAGTGACATAGTTCTGCCCGGGATCAGCAGTCTTGCCGTCCCAAAGCCCTAAAGTTTTTTGCTTGGTTTGAGGAATCACCTGGCCGGCAAGAACGCCTCTGAGCTCCCAGAGCTTCTCGAGCTTAATGGTGGTGTCTTCGGAATCAGTCAGGATATGGCTGTGTATCCCTTTGCATACCACGATGGTCGCAGCAAGGATGCAGATCCGGAGATCGCCACCTACAAGAATGGCCTTGCATTCCACCAGCAGCAGAAATTCTTCCTTTCATGGCCCTTCGGAGCCAAGGTGCTTATATGGGGAGGATACGGTTGGCGAGATCTTTCTCACGGGCCCCCTGGTTGCGATAAGTCGGATGGCGACCACTGCTCACCAAACCCGGTTTATGATGAGTATGGGAATGCTCAGTGCATGCCAGCGCCAACCGTGTCACCGCTTTCCAAGACGGAAGCACGAGAGCGGCGCTGGATATGTGAGCATCGATGGCAGGGTGTGGCAGGCATGATGCACTTTCGCAAGGCCTGCCGGCAGCATGCCGTGACAGAGAAATGGGAAGGCGGAAAGACGGAGGGCATTGGGATCGGCCGTGTTGCCTTCCGCCTGGGGAGTGATTGCTTCGTCGCACTCACGCGTGGCAGGAGGGAAGACGAGGATGAAGATGTGGCAGGTGTGGGCGGAACTTGGGATCTGACAGGCCTCAAGATCGAGCTCCCTGAGGGCCGATACTGTGACATGTCCTCTTTACACACGCAGAAGGGCTGGGACCAAAGCAGCTGTCCCAGGGAGGTGCAGGTGGACGACAAGGGCGTTATCCAGCATGGCTCCGTCACCCAAGGAGAGAGACTCAGCCGCAATTAAGATCCCCCATTCCTGTATCGGTTCTTCTGGGCGTTGTTTCTCATTCTGCTCTACAAACAGAAAAGCCTCGCCTAGGATCCTTGCCATCCATGTCGGCGCCAAAGTCACCAGCCTGTTCAGCTGATCGTGGGGCTTCCAAAAAAGTTTGTCAGGTGCTTTGTTAGAGAGTTAAATTTATGCGCGAAGCCCCGTTTCTTTGGGGTACAGTTTGTTGCGCCTTCATATTTGGAAGCTGCCATATCAGAGTGACGACACGTTCAAACCCCTGGCACCCAAAGCTTCTCAACTCTTAGAATGGGTTGAAGAGAGCAGGGATGAAGTCTTGAGAGTGCAGTTTGCTATTGGGGTGCAGAATCTTAGGAAGGGTCGCAAAGCTCTTTGCTTACCAGAAATTCCAGCAGCAGGGGCTACCATTTTCCAGGGAAAAACTGGTTAGAACTGTGCAGCCAGAGGCAGACGCATGATTGTCATGGTTGTGTCAGTTGCAGAGTTGAAAATTCAGCTCCATACCATCCACCAGAGAGCAACGTTGTGTTGCAGCGTAACTTTAGGGGGATCAATGGCTCAAACACTCTGGCTTCGCAAGATAGGCCTTCAATACCTGGACGACATGAAACCCCGTGTGCCAGCGGGTGTCTAGCAGGTTTCACAAATCTATTAGTGGAATTCAGAACCTTGGCTGCAAAGGCATTGGATCTACCCTAGTAGTCCCAGGAGTGATCATAATCATCAGCCCGAACAAAGGTGCACCACAAATCACAATAAGCCGGCCTTTACTCCTTTGCAGCCGCCAGTAGTGACCTTAGCTCTTGCTTTGCGAGCCGTTGCAGTTTGGACCTTGGGCGGCTTTCCATGCCCTCTTTTTTCCATCCTGTTCTAATACTACCACCTCCACCACCGTGACTGCTGCTACGTCTTGTACTTCTACTGCTCCTCCTGCTGCTGCAGTGTCTATTACACTATTGCTGTTGTCCACATGTCAGTGTTCAATTCTGTTGTTGTCGGGGTTGGTGGCATTATGCCTTTCTGTTTTGCCTTTGGCGGTCAATGCTACCAGGGCTTGAGTCCTTGCAGTTTTCATCATATAGGTATGCACACAGGCTGCCACCTATGCGACTCCTCCTACAACTAGACAAATCCTGGGGTTGCAGCCATTGTGGCAACCCTTCACAGCGCTGCTCAAAGATTTTTGGTTGAGTAAAAAGCTATAGGGCTTACGAGTTTACAGCCTTTTTAGTTATGAACTGCAAGTCCTACGGTTCCAAATCAAGAGCCCCTGACATTCAGCACGCATTCACGGTGTCTCTACAATCTACAAGCATGGCTACTCATCTTTGCACGCCTCTTCACATAATATGTCCGCTGCTACCAGTGTTAGCTGCAATCGTGTTTTTCCAATCTTCCTGCGCAGGGTCCATTTACAGCCTGCTGGCTTTACAGAGCTCTGGCTGGAAGCGGAGCACACCGTAATTCAAAGAGAGCGAGAGCGGCTTCATCACTGCTTTCACTGTTGCGTCTGCTTTAGCGTTCTACCTGATGTTGGGGATCGGGGGGAAGCATGTGTAAAAGCACTACCATACATGGAGCCTGTACTTCTTCAAGTTCTGGAAGCTGCCAAGTGGCTTCGGCCGCCTTCTCTGCGGCTGCAAGTCTTAGGTAGCGATGAGCTTGGACGTAGACTTACAGGGCCTGATCCCAAGTTGCTACAAGTTCTGAAACGACAGTCTCGTAGTGTAATGTATGCCATGCACCACACAAAAGCCAATTCCATAATTCCAGGCTGCGGCAAGTAGCGACAGCCTTCATCCGACCACGGTAGCGTCCACTACATGATCTCAGATGGTTTCGTTGTGGGGTCACTGGAAGAGGCTTTACCGAAGAAGTTCAGCCCCTAGATCTACTGCACCCGATCAACAGATCATTTTTCTGACAGGAAGTCACGTTTAGAAGACAGGATGTTCTATTCTTGCTGGCATTGGCCTTTGCCTCAATAAATGCAAGCAGGCTTTGTCCAAGTCACTCTTGCAGTCCTCCAAGAAAGCAAAGCACAGGGAAACTTGAGATTCTTCATGTCAAAGCACAAAACTTGTGTTCACTATAGGCCCAGCCATAAATGCTGGCCAAGGGAAGCCTGAGCCCCAGAATCCCAAACCCTAAACCTTAAACCCTAAACCCTACACCCTAAACCCTAAACCTTGAACCCTAAACCCTACACCCTAAACCCTAAACCTTCAACCCTAAACCCTTTTCAACCTTCTTCAGCACAAACTGCTGCTTAAAAACAGTAGCTCGCAAACCCTTTGGTGGAAAGGCTGTGCATATAGGATTTCTGGGGTAGCTTCCAAGCTAGTACCTCAAAAGGACCCTACTATTCCTTAATAAAACATGTTGACTACTTATAGGTCCCTAAGATTCCTGAAGCTAGGATCGGGCTCTGCAAGCGGTCATCGGTATATAGGAAGGTGTAGAAGGACAGCTGTAAAGAATCAACCGAAAACCGGAATGTCCTTCGACAGTTCCAATCTGAGCAAGAGCTCAGGCTTTGGAGACAAGATTTGGAGCATGCCCAGTTGAGGGAGACCTCCATATCACCACAGGCCCCCAGACAAGTAGTTTCCTTTCCTTTGGTGCTGGGAAGCCGGCACCCCCTGGAGGCAGGACATCAGGTGAAGGAATGTCTACAAAAAACCTGGGAGCAAATTCAACGTCAGGCCCAAAGGTTGCGTTCTGGAATGGTGCTTGACGTTGCGCAACCACGCTGTTACTGTAATTGACAAGTTTGTAGATCCTGTTGCCGATGGATGTTTTCGTGAAGGGTGTAGTAAGTCGAGTGTCTGCAGGGGGCAGATCCACGTCGGAAGGGCTCCCGCGTTGCAGAAAAGCGAAAGCACGCTAAGAATCTAAAAATCTAGGCTTGAATGACAATGCACTTTCAAAGCTCACCCTTGATGCAAGCAACCCTGGGGAGTATTCCTGACTCGCATGCGTATTATTTCATGGTCCAGGTCACTAACATCTCATGCAATAAAGCACGGGCTTCTGGTGAGTAGATCGCGCCGTTCGGAAACTCTTCCCTACTTTTAGCCTTGGTATATACTTTATTGTAAAGTAGTAGTTTCCATGTGTCCATCACCCCTATATAACCCCAATATATTCCCTAACCTTTCGGCCCTAAGTGCCGTGGAGTGTGGAGATCTCCTGAATTTCCCATCACCTCGGGAAATTCCACGTACCAGCAAAAGCCCTGGCTGCACGCCAGCAGATATTGGTGGTGGGGAGCCTACAAAAGGCTCCTGCCAGACTCTCTTGCGCGAGAACATAGCCGTCAAACGAAAATTGCTGAGCTTGTATCGTCTTGCTGGTTCTTAGTAGGGAAGATGGGAATAGAGTCCCTGTATAATCCACAGAATATATAATATTCCCTTATTCCCTTCTAAGCCCCAGGAAGTTTTTCTGTAAGGAGCATCCTTTGGCAGACCTTCGACTGCAAGCGCATGACAAGTAGTCATGTTTGTGAGCCCAGAAAATGGCCGCCGAGGTGAAGGGCCCAAAGTCAGTATAGGATCTTCTTACTTTGGGGAAAGCTCTGCTAAGTATGGGGCATGAGGCTACTGCTGCTGAAGGGGGTTGCTGATACTACAACCAACACCAATACCATCATCGTCATCTTCATCATCACCCTCACCTAGTTACCAAGTCTGTAGGACTTGCTACCCTCCCCTAAATTTACATGGCAATCCATCTAGGTCGCTGGGGGTCCATTTTTTGAGGGGAGTGTCCGAGTACAAAACCTGCTGAGGCCAGAGGCATGGAGCCGCTCGGTTCGCAGCCCGAAGGCTGGGCTTAGGGGGATATAGGGCATAAAGGAATATAGGGGATATAGGGGGATATAGGCAGATATAGTATAGGGGGGGATCGGGTCCCCTCACGCTGCAGGGTATCTGTCTTGGCCTTTGGGATATTTGAATATTTTCCCCTATTGGTTTCATAAGGACCCTATATATCCTAATAGTTTCGAAGGGCTTTACAGGACAACCAGGCTACTGGTTGTTGAGCCTTTAAAATCTCCAATTCAAGCGGGAATCTGGGTTTTCCTTTTCGAAGCGGGACCGCTTATGTGTAACCGCGATCCTGATGCTGGAGGTTCTGAGCGCTGCATGCTAATGCCAGCCGCTGTCAGCTGATTTGTTGGTTGGTGCTCAGTCAGATGAGCTGTAGTCTGATTAAACTCCTCAGATAGTAGAGGGTTATTCAGCGGGATACTTGGAGTTTAGACAATGGCTCAGATGTTTTTTCAAGGCGTCCTGTAGAAGCATTTTCATGCCAAGCCTTCCAAAAACTCCTGCATGGTGGCCAGGTACTGAGGAGGGTGAAGTCCAGCTGGCGGGAGGCTCAGGGCGACAGGTTCAGCGACTTAGCGTTGATTTGTCACCGTTTCTCCTGACCTGGCTTCTGGTTTGCAACACTCCGGAGAGGAACCCACTATCGGGCTAATCCAGCCAAAGACCGAGAGATCAGCTTAGGTACACACATGGAATCTCAATGTTTTGACCCAAATTGCGGGGCCTAAGCTCTCACTCAGTCGTGAATCTTGCGCTGAAGTGGGTGGGAAGACGCTGACCTGATCAAGGCCCAAGGCATAAGGAATCCCAGAACGCGTTAGCCCGCCAACCGAAAACTGCAACCCCCACTCCTGGTCTGGACCCGCGCACTCCGCAAGCAGTCCAGTCCTGGTTGCCAGGATGACATCCATGAAGAGTGGTTTGTGGAGGCCAGTTAAAGCACGTCCGCAGACCACCCGTGTGTTAGAGACTCGCCACATCAAATTCTGTTCATCATTTTTCACAAAGGCTAAGGCTTAGTGTTTTCCTTCGCGATTTGTCAAGCCCTGGGGCAAAATTCGGGTCCTTGTGTTTTTGATTTGTTGTATAGCTTCTTGGATTATTCCAATCGTCCTCATGTTCACTATATTCGCGCTCACTTCCCATGTTCAAAAGACCGGCATACCTCAACCCTGCCCGCAGGCCATCGAAAAGGTGGACCTTCCCCCACCTTGGGAGAAGCGAAGGGTCCGGGGTGGCGGAGACAGGACGGGACCTCAGTCCAGTGTTTAGGGAGGCCAAG